GTCCTGGGGACTGGAGTGGCAGAGGACAGACAGAAAGCACACAAAAGGCAAGGATGTCCTTCCCTCTGACACACAGGAGCCTGTTTTCAGTTCTGGGGACCAGAAACAGGGGCTCGTCTTGAAGCTCTTTGTGCCTGAACTGATGGATATGTCTGGATCTTGGGTTGTCTGAGTCCAGGCAGGGAAATACCAGAGAAAAAGTGAGACTTAAAACCACCAGTACAGACAGGGGGCTCTGTGTTCCACTGCACACCTCTGGCTCTGATTTCTGGGAGCCTTCTGGGCTCCATGCACATTAAGCAGGAAGCCCAGCCACATCCCGCAAGCGAGACAGATGGCGTGGATGCCTGACTCCATCCAACCCATTATCTCCTGTCTCACAGTTCTTCGTGAGTGCGTCCCCAGTATTTTATCTATCTGTCTCTCGAACACTACCTTGCTACAGGGCACACACAGGTGCCTTGTGGGACTGGTAAGAGAACCGCCTTGTCCTGGAATCTCAGGAATGGATTCCTGTCACACCAGGATGTGTGGCCTCAGATTGCTCTCCACAATGTCCCTTGCAGGGCATGGCTCACAGAACACTCCAGGGCTCCCCTTCCACACAGTTGCACCCACACCAGGCACTGACTGACTTTCTAATTTGTGCTGAAGAGGAACAATGTAATACATCCTTTCTTTAATGTGCGTTTTCTCAATAGCCAAACTTGTGTCTTCCATGTACTTGGCTTAAGTCCTCTTCTGTGTACTACCCCGGGTACTCTTTTTCCCTTTTTAAAAAAATTATATTATTGTTGTACTGGGGGTCCACTGTGACATTTACAAAAGTTCTTACAGTATATCATAGTTGAATTCACCCCCCTCCATCACTCTCCTTTATCCTCTCTCCCCCCGTTCCTGGAACAGTTTCAGCAGGTCTCATTTTTCCATTTTCATACACGAGTACGTACTATTTCCACCACATTCACCTCCTACACCTTTCCTTATATCCTCCCCCTCCCACTGGTAACCACCCCCAGACAGGATATGTTTTACCTTCCTATTCTCAGCTTTTGAAAAAAGATATTTTTGTTTGTTTAAGATAGCTACACAGGGAGTTTCCTTGTGACATTTCCATGTATATATATATCATAACCTGAATTGGTTCATCTCCTTTATTTTCTTCCTTTCTACCTTAGTCCCCTTCTTATGGCAATTTCAACAAGTTTAAAACTTCTGTATTCATTCTCATATAGAAAGTACATCAGTCATTCACCTTCTTAACCTCCTTCCCCCTTGCTCTCTTGACGCATTTTTCTGCTGGAGGTGCCGCCTTGTCCTGGCTTGTTTGAAAGAGTTGTTTGTATGTTCTGGGAATCATATTAGCCATTACAGGTGTCTCCGTGTGTTCCCTGTTTCTTCACTTTCTCCATAATATCCTCCATTAATTGGAAACCCAGTTATGGTGACACCAGCCAGAATTGTACTTCTAGGTCAATGTGGACCATCTTCTTTCTTTTCTTCAGTCTTAGTTCAAATTTTGTTTACATCAAAACTAAAATGAAAAGCACAATACTGAGTCTCGTTTGTGCCTTATTTTTTTTCAAGACAGGTCTTACTATGCAGCCTAGGTTGGCCTGGAACTCACCAGGAAGTTTGCTTATCAGTTCCTTCATTCCCCACAGGTCATGACAACCTTCTAGAGTGTCCTATGCTGACTTTGAAGCCTCTCCTTGCATACTCAGCTCTGGTGCAGACTCCAGTCGGCCTTCCTGGGTGGGCACAGCTCTGGTGAAGCCTTCCTGCATGGGGAGCCACTCGTTTCTCTCCACGTGGAGATCCTGTCATCCTCACCCTACATCAGGTTTCTATGTATGACCAGAGTTCTGTCCCCAAGTGCTCTGCTAGGCTGTTTTTAGACAAAATACACTTTTTTCTTTTTATTTTCTGATACTGTTTACTTCCATGACTTTACAGCATGTGTTAAAATTTGGTAAGAGTTGCGTTTGCCTGCCGTGGACAAGGTCCTGGATTTGAACACCAGCACCACAAAGAAAAAAAATTGTTAAAATTCTATCTGTTCTTTTCCTTCTTTTGTGGCAACTAACCCAGAACCCTGCACACTCTAGGCAAGCACACTACCACTAAACCACACCTCCAGCCCTTTTTGAGACAGGGTCTCACTAAATTGCCCAGCCTGGTCTCAAACTTGTCATCCACCTGCCTCAGCCCCGAGTAGCCACCATCCCTGGTTTATGGGTTCTTGCTTGATGTGTTTTGCAGCTATATTTCTTGGCAACTGTATGTCTATGGTGCCCTTAGCTTCTTGTGACACTGTCTTTCAACAACACACACACACCCATTGTCCCATGTAACCGTAGCCAGTGCCAGTGGCCTTCTTGGCAAGAAGTTCTTGGTTTTGATGCATCTGGAAATGTGTTCATTTTGCCTTTGTGCTTGAAAGTTAGTAATGCTGGGTTCTCGGTCCTAGGTGGCAGCTATGGAGTGTCACTGCACTCTCTCCCAGCTGTTGTCACTGTTCAAAAGTCTGCTGTCGGTTGGTCATTCCTATGGGGGTGGGGTAGTCCACTTTCTTTTCTCCCATGTCAATACGTCATGTTTACACGTGATTTCATCTGCTAGGCATTGTGCCTCCTGTGACAATGGTGTCGTGCCTTTTGTCTGTTGTGGAGAGTTTCTAGGGATTTCATATCTCAATTTCAGCTCATTCTCTTTGGCTGTGACTGACATACTATTTGATTTAACCATTGAAATTTAGCAATCATATTTTTCCTATCTCAGAGTTGTGATTCTTTTTCAGATCTGCTTGCTCATTTTCTTGGTTCTTTTACTTCTTTCATGTTGCATACTTGAGTGTTTTGACTGCTGTGCTTATTCATTCCAGTGCCTGAAGTTCCCAGGAGACTAAAACCTCTGAGACCCCTCTGCTAACTCATGCTGAGGGCTTCTGACCTCTCATCTGTGAGCTTCTGTGGGGAGCTCACGAGATTGAACTCAGTCTGTCTGACGCAGAGGCCCTGCAGCAGGAGCGGCTTGCACGTGGCTCTGCACCTCACCCACTTCTTCTTGGGTTGGGTGGGAGCTGCTATCCCTTGAGCCTTCGCCCGCCCTGGCCTAGTGCAGCCTTGGCTTCAGTTCCTCATCCTCCAACTCCAGCCCCCGTCCCCAGGGTGGCCCCACACTCCACTGCTTTCTTCATCGTTCTGGTATCAGCTCACTGTTTCGGGCTCTTCGATTGTTTTTTGTTTTTAAGCCCCTGGGATTTTCCAGCTGTGTGTTTTAAAGTGTATTTATTGTAGTTTGCCCAAGTCTGAGTTGTACCGCAGTGGGATCTTTGGAGCATCTCGTTCCCACACTGCAAAGGCTGGAAAACTCCGCCCTGGCACCTGTGCCCACCTGCCCACCTCTCAGTGCTCTGGAGAGATGTGCCCTCTCTTCCCCACCCAGCCTCTCAGGAGCATCTCAAACGGCCACTGGCCTATCCCTCCCATGGTCGTCTCTACTCTTGGTTCCTATGACTCCACACTGCCCCAACCTTCCTCTTCGGTTTCTGGTGGTCTCTGCTGGGATATTGACCACCATCCAACCATGAAAAGTTGGAATTCCTCAACATGCTTTCCCTCGCCCATTTCTCCCCCAAGGCCCATCATGCCACAGCTTCAGCTCCCTCCATACATGGAAACTGCAAATCCAACATGGTAATTCAACTGGGTCATGCTAGGTCCACACCTGCTACCTTGGCTCCTCAGACTAGGCCACCTGGCCCCACTTCACTGTTCTGCTCCCTGTTTTTCTGCATCCCTGTCACAGCACTTAGCTGGGTACAGGGGCTGCTGTGTTCTGAAGGGCAGCCACTGTTAGGAGGAGAGCTCTGGCTTTAGGCCTCTGCCCTCAGCCAGCTGGGAAAGGCCCAGAGCTGGCAGGGCTTCTCCACAGACCACTTGGTGGGGGCGATATTCTTAGTTTCCACAACTGACTTCTGGTCTAGCACTTCTCACTCCTGGTGCTCCTGGTGCCTTCCCCACTGAACACGAGCCCCACCTCCTCCATGAGTCTCTCTCTAGGGGACATAGCTGAGAGGTGGGGATCCCTGGTGAACTCCAGCATCTGACATGGCCCACTGCTCACACCTGGACCTGTACTCATTGTATGTGTGTGTCTCCAGAGAGGCCGTGGTGCCCATGAAGACAAGAGCAACATTTAACCTGAGCCACATTTGAGGCATTGGCTTCATCACCATTAGTGATCACTGTGTGGTGCCTATGCTCCAATAACACCCTAAGGATCTCAGATTTCCTTCAGGCAGCTGGAAATCTAATGTCACCATGGGAAGCAGGCATCCTAGGCACTCCTGAAGAGCCTGGATGAGCTTGGGGAAGGAGAGAGACTTTGCAGAAGGGAGGGTGGTATCCACATTGGGAACTTCCACAGAGGAAGTGCAGCCAAGCTGAAGGGAGGAAGGTATCCCCAGAAGGCTGAGGGCTCTGCCAGGGCCTGGTTGCCAGCCTTGCAGTGGGGCCTGGCAAGAGAGAGAGACTCAGTGGCCACAGCAAGCAGGTGGGCATACAGGCAAGTCACAGAGGCCCTAGGCCATGGTCCAGACTCAACAAGATGGATGTGAGTTGGATGTGCACTTAGGAATCTTCACTGGGACTGGGAAGATGAAGAATGGATGGAGCAAGCAAGGAAGCAGGAAGGAAGCCTTGCTAGACTAGGAGGGCACAGGGGGTGATCTGAGACCTGCTAAGGATGGGGAAGGGGTTGCCGAGGATGACGATAGGGGTCCTGGGCTCCTGAGTGTGGCAGCACCAGCTCCTGCGTCCTGGACTCCCACTGCCTAATGAAGACCCTAGCAGTTTCTGAGGATCCAAGCCACAGGCTTTTCCTATCTCGTGGTTTCTGGTGTCTGGGTGAAGTGGAGATCCAAGCCAGGTTCAGCACCAGCACAGGAGGGGCTTGGGGCAGGCAGAGCCGAAGAGGCCAGTGCACACTCTGCAGGCTTTTAATAAAGATAGAACTCAACAAAGATGGCAAGGACAGGATGAGGGCAAGGACAGATGGGGACAAGCCAGGCAGATGACTGACCCTGTGGCTCAGGTCACATAGTAGGACAGTTCCATGATGTCCTCCAAGGATTTGTGGTAAAACCTGCGGCATGTAGAGTCCGGGTCATTGCTGAGGTTCTCCAACTCTGTGGCAGAGACCAAGGTCTGACTGTGGCTGTGTCCCACCAGATGACCTGCTGTGGAGCTGTGAGGTCCCAGTGGGGGTCCATCTGTCCCCAGACCCAGAGTCTAGAGGAGAAGGTGGGCCCACCCCCACTATTGAACAGGCACCTCCCCACCAGAAGGACCCCCTGGAGTGTCAGCAGACAGGCCTCCTGCCACCCAGCTGGGGCACAGGCTCCTCACTCACGTTTCTTAAGGATTTTCATGTCGTCCTTCTTCAAGCAGAAGCAGAGTTCAGTGAAGTAGTCCTGAAGCATGCCCCCTGGATAATCAGGGAGGTGGTAGGCAGTGAGCAGCCCCTGCCCACTGGAGGCAATGGGCCAGCAGGAGTGTCTGGCCCACCCACTGGGCCCAGAGCCACTGCCTGGAGTAGCCCCTGGGGACATGGGCCTGGCTGTCCAGTGTGGAGGCCCAGGCAGTCAGATAGGTAGAGCCAGGTCTCTGGGTCAGTGCCTACCAATGAATTTCATGGCTGCCAGCTTCAGGGTGGTGTGGGGGCTGCCCAGATAGGTGAAGGCCTGCATCAGAAATCGTTGGTAGCTACCAAAGTTGCTCTCCACCTGGGGGGAAAAGAGATGGCCTGTGGCCAGGCCAGAAGCACACATGGTACCTGGCTTCTGGGACATGGCTCTACTTAAGTCCTCCACAGCAGCCCCAGCTCCCCCACCCCCACCTCCGGTGCCCAGGGCCAGGAAGCAAGGAGGGTAAATACCCCAGGCTGGGCTCAGAGCCAGGACTGGCCTTCTCAGAGTCATGATAGGAGGGGCTGACAGCCCAGGCCCTACAGGTTCACCTCCTATACTCAATCTGATGTGGGGCTTGGGAGAGTCTGTGTCAAGGGGTCAGGTCCACCCATATCTGTGGCCCCTTCCTAACATGACCCTGGAAATCCCCTGGCATGCCTTTGTCCTCCCTCTTCTACCCACCCTGCCCCCTGCTTGGTTCCATTCCACCCCCAGGGCAGTGCTGAGCACTGGGATGATGGAATGTGGGGAACATCCATCATTGGGTGAGGGGCAGTGATCTGCAGGACTGGCCAGCCTGGCTCACATGTGGGGACATTTGTAGCTGCAGAGGCCACACCTCTAAGAGGTAAGCTGGCCCAGGACAGGGGCTGCCATAGAGCAATGAGGATGAAGTCAGCTCTAAGGAGGTGGGATAGGGCATGAGGCCTTCATCTGAGCCTCTGAACCAGGCCCTGCTATGGCAAGGGTCTCCAAAGTCCTTTAGTTCCATAAACGAGTTTGCTTTTTCTGAGCCTGTGTGAATTTACTTTTCTGCCACTGGCACTACCAAGATGCCAGTCGGTCTAACACCCAGGCATTCAGCCCCCAAGGCCACCCTCCCTGCACTCCCCACAGAGACCCTGGAGCCATCTTTGTGCCCAGGCCATGCAGTCCCGGCCACTTCCATGGCCAGGAAACTCATGCTCAACCTGGGATTCACCAAAGGGCTCTCCTAGTTGGGCTAATGCAGAGCTGCCTGCCTTCCACCCAGGCCTGCAGTATAGACTTCATGTCCAGCTGCAAGGAGACCTGGTGTCTGTGGGACTCCTTTCTTCAGAATCCACCATGCTCCATTCCATTCTCCTTCTACAAAGAACATTTCAACTGTCAGCACCCAGTGTGCTGGGGACCTGCCATCCACTTATGGCCTTGAGAAGACAAACACTTCCCTGCTCTGTGCCCACCCAGGAGGTGGATGGCAGTGCTAACTATTGCACTGGTATGTACCAAGATCCTGGCAGGTCATATGATTTTCCCACACCAAGATATCAGCTCTCCCTGTGGGCAATGATCCCACGTCTTAGAGTAGGAAAAGATTAGGAAGGGTCTGGAATGTTTCTAATGTTGCCAGAAAGAAGAGTGCTTTAAAGAGAAGTCCAGGAGCAATGTCCAAAAGAAAAAGATGCCAGGTACAGGGGCAGCTGTTGGCCAAGCAGCAACAGTCTGATCATGGAAGTAATGCTGATGCAGACGGTGACAGAGGTTCCTAGAATCAACCCACCTATCATCAGCCACGTGGGCTGAGCTGTGTCCTGCAAAGCCCAGAACCTCAGGAGTGTGGCCCTGGATGGAGATGGGTGATCAAGTTAAAATGAGGTCATCAGGGAAGGCCTGATCCATATGACTGGCATCCTCGTAAACAGGGAAGTGTGACAGAAACAGGTGGAGAAGGAGGACACCATGGGAAGAGTGGAGCCGAGTCACCGTGAGTCGAGGAGTCGCAGAAGCCAGGACGAGGCCTGGAGCAGAGGTCCTCCTCAAGCACCAAGAGGGCAGGGCTTTAACTCCTGACCAGGGCTGCTAGCCCTGATGGGCAGGTGTGTGTGGCCTACTGTTCAGTCCACTGAGGTGCTTTGTTTGGTTTTGGTTGGCAGCCTCAGCAGGTAAGTGGAGCCATGGGGAAGTGAATCATGAAGTAATTAGAAAGGAGGATGACAGGAAGAAAGGGAAGCTAGTTTAACACTCAACTTTTCATTGGTATTAAAAAGTGGGTAAGTGTTTAAATTCATGCATCTTTTCTACCAATGCTTTTAAAACATCAGGCACTGAGACAGCAGCTGTCTCCTGTAGAATCAGGGCTCTGAGTGACCACTCAGCCCAGGTTGGGACTGGAGCATGTTCCGGTACTGCCTGCCCCATGTCCCCCCCACAGACAGCGGGAGGGGCCTGTAGGCAGGAGCACCAGGCAGCTAGCTGAGGCGGACAGCAATGATCACCCACCCACTCCACACTAGTGACTGATATGAGACCCACGTGATCCTATCATCACGGTGTACCCCATTGGAGGAGCTCTACCAGCGCTCATAGAAAGGCAGATGTGTCCAGATGGCAGTGCATGGGAAGGAGTGCAAGTTTCTGAGCAGCACTGCGTATATGTGGGGACAAGTGAAAGCCCCAGGGGATCAGCAACCCCTGGTGGCAGCTTGACTAGGGGCCTGTAAGGGAGAGTAGCATCTAGGACCCACACAGACAGGATGGCAGCTGCTTCTCCTTGGGTCTGAAGAAACTATAGAAGCTCTAGAAAGGCATGAAAATAGGAAAATTGCTGAAAACAGAGGGCAGTGGAGAGCAGCTTCCCAATAAGCACCATGGTGGCCTGAGGACATCCCAACCCTCTTTGCCTCCCCTGCTGTCTTCACCTGGAGAAACAAATTTAAATGTAGGGGTTTTTGTTGTTTTTAGTGATACTGGGGTTTGAACTCAGGGCCTCATGCTTCCTAGGCAGACGCTATACTACTTGAGCCACAAACTCAGTCCTAAACATAGGATTTTCATTAAGCTTTTAGAAGTATATAAATAAGCCTAGCATTAATATATGAATGCCCAGGGAAAATTACTTTGTTAAATCTGTAAGTTTTAATTTATTTATTTATTGCCTAAGTAACGGGCAATAAATATTAGCAGTGTTGACTATTTAATGCTTTAAAATCTGGTTTTGAAGCAGGGCGCCAGTGGCTCATGCCTGTTATCAGCAGAGATCAGGAGGATCAGAAAAAAGAAGAAAAAAGCTGATTTTGAGGGCTGGGGTATGCTTCAGGGTAGGGCCTTGGATTTACAATCCCCAGTACCACAAAAATATTGTGATTTTGGTTAATTAATAAGATCTGTAAACTGGGCATTTAATAAAACACAAAAGACAATACATACACCTCTCGTGCAGGGAAGACTCTCCAAGATAAAGGAATTGGTTAACAAATTCTCTTAAAATTCTTAATCAAACAGGGAGTCACCCAAGGGCAGAACTGGACAGGGACAGAAGCCAAGAGCTTACACTCTGGCTGCCCTGAGTATAGGCTGTATCTCTACATGGAGGCTGGGGTTAACCCCGACCCCTAGGACACCATGGGAAAGATCAGTCCTGAGGCTGTAGGGACTCAGAAGGAAGAAGCACCCCAGACCCCAGGGGAAGGCAGAGACCAAGAGAAAGCTTCCCTCAAGCCCAGATGGAAAGAAGAGTCTCTTGAGACATGGGACCCTGGCAAGGCCACATGAAAACTAGAGTTTGGATTTACTTGGCCTACGTTCTAGGGGTACCTCAGAGCTGAGAAGCTAAGGAAAAATCTATCCCCAGTCAGGAGCAAGCAAACACACCGAAGGAGCTCAGTGCTAGCTGAGCACAGTGACAAGATAAAGGCAGAGGCACAGGGCGAGAGTTGGCAAACACAAGGTGGGATGCTCCAGGGCTCCAGAAAGGGGGACCACTGAGCAGACATGATGAGGTGTTTTTTCAAGTGATCATGTCTATGGAAAGTGAGAACTCAGGATGAGGATGAGGACCCTGAAGAACAGGCCGGCTAAGGGTACTGTGCCACCCAGAAAAGCAGCGGGTGCTTTATTTGTGAATTAGAGATGGGCAAAAAGACCTCATGAACTGGGAGACAAACATGGAAAACTACCTGAAATGTGACATCAAGGGGTAAAAAAAGATGGCAATAGGAAATGAGGCTCAGATGTGTAGACTAACAGACTGAGGTCAAACACACATTAAATGAGCAACATCTGTGAGCCCACTGTTTTTTTTTTTTTTCTTTTTTCTTTTTTTGCCTGTGATCTCCAAATTTGTTCATTTCACCTGGTCTGTGGATGTGGGTCTGCGTCCTCTGCGTCTGCCCCTTAGCCAGCTGGTCCTGCAATGTTTTCAGGAGGGACCCACCGAAGGGAGGCTACTCCCCAGATCCCCAGTGCCCACTCCTGCAGTGTGCGTGACCCCAGGCAGCAACACCCACTGCTGGTGGCAGCTTTCTCCCAGGAGCCCATAGGAAAGATGAGGGTTACAACAGGCTGTGTCTATGTGACAGCACCCTGTGAGTGGCTCCCCTGGCATTGCAGAGGGCTCGCCACAGTGACTGCTGCACCCCATGACTTCTCTGCAGCTGGGCAGTCAGCTCCAGTGGTGGCTATTATCCATTACACACATTACACAGGCTGCTGTGTGGTGTGGGTCATTTCAACTGCTCTCCCATCCTTGCACTCTTTCCACTTCTTACTGGCAGCTCCTGCACCAGCTTCCGGCTGCACTTTTTGCTTCTGTAAGCTTTTCCTCCTAAGTGGCTTTGATGGGCACTAGTCACTTAGTCAGGATTGTGGTGAAACAGTTAAGAGGCTCCAGAGGCTCATGCTTCTGGTGTCAACAACCATGCCACATGGTGGACAAATGGCACCACTGCATGCAATGGGTGAGCAGCACCTGCTCCCACAGGCCGGGAGCTCAGTGCTGCAGCCCTGTACAAAGACCTGGCCCACCCTTAGATCTCCTTGGCTCCATCTCCTGGATTTGTTTCATAAAAGCCACACGGAACAGGGAGCAGCTTCTCACAAATCCCTACAGCATAAGCCACACAATGGAGACCATCTGAATGGAGTAGACCTGGCTACACTGCAGTTGAAGGCTTCTGAGCAACCAGAGATACCATGGGCAAAGCAAAGGGACAAGCCACTCTGTGGAAAATATTTGCAAGACAAATAATGGGCCCTGGGTCCGTCCCCAGGGCGCGTGAGGAACGTGCACACATTTCTAAGTGGGAGACAAATAACCCTGTATTGAATGGGGAAGACCAGACTGGGCAACTTGTGGCTGAGCCCTGGTCAGCTGGTTCCCGATGAGCTCACCCTGGAGGCCACACTGTGCCCCAGGAAAGAAAATTCTATGCCCTCCTGGGGCCAGTTTGTGCTCTGCCTCTTTCAGGAAGCCACCCCTGGCCTGCTCCAACCTTCAACTGTCCACTGCTGCCACACGTGGCCTGCTGGGCAGTGCCCAGGCCACTCTGACCAAACAGAATCAGGAACTGAGGGTCCATCTCCATGTTTTCCTCCCTTCACATTCAAACAGGAGGGGGAGGGATGGCAGAGATCATGAGGCCCAAGTTTCAACGGCCAGGCAATGTTTCCCAGCTCACAGGAATGCAATGCATGCACGATGCAGTGGGGCCTGAGGACAGACCTACTTTGTCCACCTGTGACTCAACCCTGCCTAAGAGTTTGGGACTATCACCCTGACAGCCTGGTCCCAAGTAGAACATAAGGAGAGGCTAGGGTCTGAAGTTAAACTGGCTGCTGGCATTTCCTGCCCACACTCAATCCTGGGCCTAGCAGTGTCTGGGGGCAGAGGCTCAGCTCTGAATTCAGGTCTGCACTGGAATACTAAGGCACTGTGTCCCCCGAGAGCCCCTCCACAGTGGTCTCGGATGGACACACTGCAGGCACACAGTGGGGGCTCTGTCTCCCAGCCCAGCTCTATCATGGAGGGGGATGCTCCCTCTCAGGGGCTCAGGTGACTTTTAAATACCTGGGATGACTTCCCCACACCTTAGGCCCCTGCAGAGAGGGCTGGGGTGACTGTGCATAGCCATACAGCTACCTCCCACACCTTACCATGTAGATAAAAATGTCGTTCTCAGCACCCAGCCCTTGGCCCCATGCCAACTTGCTGAACACTTCCTTCTGGAACTCCCACTTCATCAAGATGGCGCAGCGTAGGAAGGTGAACTTGGCCTTCTGTGGGTACAGAGCAGAGACCAGTCACCCCCAGGAGTCCCTGGCCTCCATCCATCATTACATCCCTTCCAGACAGACCCCAAGGGAACAGGCTTCTGCAGTGACATTACCCCAGGACACCTAGGGTCCCAGGCCATGTCATCTGCATGAGTGCTAGAGGAGGTTGTGCCACAAGAGGAAGGGGTGACCCCACCCAAAGTGAGCTTTCTTTTGTTCCTGTTACTACTGAACCTAACTGGGCCTAACTGGGGGTGACGAGAAATGCAGAAAGGACAGGATAGACAGACAGAAAGTTGGGGCCAGGTATGTTGGGTGCTCAGGTGGAGATGCACAACAGCCTCATTGCTTCTGTTCTCTATTCTCTTCATTTACTCTGCTTCTTTTCCTGTCTTTATTCTTTAAGGCCTTATTCCTTTACAATTCCTTAAAAACTTTGCTTCCAAAGTCTCCTATTCTTTAAAATCTTACTCCTAAAGTCTTCTTTTCTGTTCTTGAAAGTCTCTTTCCTTAGACTTGCTCTGTCCCAAGTTTTCTCTTAGCTTTTCTTTAGCATAATCTTAGTCTTTTCCCCCAGACTTGCACTGTCCCATGTTCTCTTTAGCTTTTCTTAAGCCTATGTATAAAGTTCTCTGTGCAGACTTGCACTGTCCTCGCAAGCTGTCAACTAATTCTATCAACCCCTCTTTAGCAATTCTTTTCCCTTCAGCAATACCCCTTCAGCCATTAATTTTCCCCCTTCAGCAAAAAGCCTCCCACAGCCAAAAACCTCCCATCCAAAAAAGCCTCACATCCTCCTTCAGAGTCTTTTATATCCAGTGGTAAACAAGGAGGTGGAGCAATGGTTCTCGGGGAGGAGTGTGACACTGTAACAAGAGGAACCTGCATTCCTGCTTCTAAACTTAGGAAAAGCTGAGCTGCATCTCGCCTTCTCATTCTCTTCTGTGACTGGGGCTGTGCCAAATCTCAGCCCACAGATTATTTGACATAAACATCTTAGGAAAAGCAGCTGCTCTGCATCTTAGTCTCGTCCTATTCTGCATCTGGGGCTGTGCTGAACTCAGCCTGCAGAACATTGAGTACAACTGTGCTTATGTCCTCACAGGCTTCTCCTACTCCGCTCCCCACACCCCCCTCTAAGCCCACACTTCCTTCCTTCTTGAGGCAGAAAGAAGGCCTAAGCAGCAAGGAGAGAAAACCACTGAAAGTCAGTTTGGAACATCAGTCTTGGAAGAGGGGCCAAGACACAGGGCTGCAGGGCCACCCCCATGGAGGTGTGGAACCCTCCCAGGAAGCACTGGGCACGCAGGGTGCAGGCAAAGTGCCCTTCTGCAGGACACAGTCTGTGCCACTGGCCCAGGGAGGGAAGAGCAGAGGCAGAAAGACACTGCACACAGGCCCCTGAGGATGATTTCAGGTGTGTGTATGTGGGGGGGGGGGGAATCTGCAGCCAGTGGAGGTTCCTAAGGGTAGGAGGAAATGGAGAAGCTGTATGCAGGTGGCTGAGGAAACCACCACCAGGACGGAGTCCTCTCTCTTTCTCTATCTGCTGGTTTGCCTACAAGGTCAGTGTTGGTCCTTCCTGTCTGGTCCAAGTGACCTCTGTAGATTGGCAGCCTTCCTCTGGGCTCCAATCTCAGGGCTGAGTCCTCCAGTCCTACCAGCGGGTGGGTCTTCCCCCAACCTGGTTCCCTGAGCCACAGCCCGCTCACCATGATCACTTTGGGGCAGGAGTCAGCCAGGTGGAAGAGCAGGGGCACCAGAGCCTGGGAAGTCAAGGTCTTGAGCGCCTGCTGAAACTTCTTGCCACCATTGTGGATGACATTCCCGAACAGGAAGATGGCGCCTCCTCGCACTTCTGCCCTCTCCTGGAGGGAGACAGGCAGGCCTTCCACTTCTGCAGGTGAAGTAAGTACAGGGGCCCTTCTACCCCAGAACCTGCCTTCCAGCCACTGCCCTTCTTCCCTCCCTCATTGCCCATGACTTTGAGCGGCCAGTGTTTGCATCACTTTGGCCCTGTGACACTCAGAGACGGTCAACCTCACTCCTGACAGCACTGGAGCAGGGGCCACTTAGCACTGGACTCCAGTCCATGCCCTCCTGCTCCAACTGCCCTTTCCCTGCCCAGCTGCCTTCTCTCTGCTTGCCACCCCTTAGATTTGTCCTTCTTGGTTTCTCCACTCTGGCTTTCTCCACAGGTCCTCAGACTGACAGCAGTCACACCTCTACTCTCCCGCAGGTCAGGGCACCAGAACGGTCCCAAAACCCCAGGCAAGGCTCCTTCCCCATGTGACTGCTTCACTTTTGTAAATAGCAGCTAATAATAGTGCTTTTGTCCTTGGGCTGAGGTGAGGGTTGAGTCCAGTACCAACAGCAGGGCCCACTAATGTCAACCCAGATCCTTCTACTGCCTCCTCCTCCTCCTCCTCCTCCTCAGTTCTTATCCAGTGACCCTGGACGCCTCCATGAAAAGCAGAGCCATCTTCTGCCCCGAACTGGCTCGACCTCCCTCCTCCTCCCGCCCAGGACTTGCAGAGTCCACCTCCCGCCTGCCCACCCCTGTCCTCTCCCCTGGGGCCCACCAACCCCGAGGGGCGTGTCGCCGTCGCACTTCCTGGGGCCGCCTGGGCCAGGCTCAGCCCTCTTCCCTGCCGACCTCGCCGACCCTACTCAAATCCCAGAGACCCGTTAATCCCGTCCAGGCCGGCCCTTCCCCTTCCCCAGGAGTCTTGGAGAACGCGCCTGCCTTCTCTCCCCACGCAGCCCCATCTCCCGGCCGGGGACCCCCTTGGCCTCTCTCGGGGTGGGGTGTGCGCGCGGCTGTCAAACAGAAGGTGTTCTAGCCCGCGGCAGGAGCCCAAAGGCAGCGCCTTAAACATAGCTAGCGCAGCGCAGAGCATCAGCGGAACCTCCCTTCCGTGGCCTCGTTTCCGGCGGGGCGGAGCAGGCAGCGGACATTACCCACAAGGCCCCGCGCAGAGTGGCACTGGCTGCTCTGATTGGCGTGCTCGGGTGAGGCTGCGCAGGCGCACAGAGGGTGAGCTGGGTTTTCAGGGGCCTCCGGCTGGTGTCCGCCCAGCCTTTCTCGCTCCTGCAGAACTTCCCCACCCCACCTTCCCCAGCCTGCTCACATCCTCGAACAGGGGCAGCAGGTGCTGGGCGATCTTGAGGCTGATGGCACCCACGACCTGGACGCTCAGGCGGTGCATGAGGTCACCCAGGATTTCCATTAGGCCCAGGAGGTCCGTCGGCTTGGGCTGCAGGAAGCTGTCCAGCAGCCCCATCAGATGATTCTGGAGCAGGGTCGCCTGCAGAAAGACCCGCCATCCTCACATGGGACCCTCTGCCAGCTGCCCCCAGGTGGGTGGCTGGCTGGCTGGCTGGCTGGCTCCCTATTACAGCTGTGGTGGGCACCTGAACTTCTAGCCCTTCCCAGCCCTATATCCAAACCAGTCTGCAGGGTAGTGCGCCCTGAGTGAGTGGAGGAAGACTGAGTCCCTGAGGCTGGCTGCACTCCTGCCTCCCCTGCACCACAGTTTATCTGGGAAAAGCAAAGCCTGCAGCCTCATCCCAGTTCTACCATGGTGCCTTTGGGACCTACAGTGCTCTAAGAAGCCCAAAAGGGCTGGAAGAAATGGGTAGAACATGAAGAAAGTACCTAACAGGTGGTGGTCAGATGAGGAATTCCTACCTGGAAGGAGGCCAAAGGCACTGGTCTCAAAATCCCCTAGCCTTAGCAGTGCAGCAGGGTCTCTTGAACACTGCCGCCTTCTGACATGGCCATGACCTTCCCCATCTCCCCCTCCCAAGGAGATACCTATAGCGGTGGCTCCTTTTCCCGTGCCTTGGCCTCCCTCAAGCCCTCTTAGGATGGCAGTGGATGTCTCCCCAAGCTCCCACCCCACCTTCTTGGGGTGCACCAGGATGCTGCTGAGTCCATTCAGGCTCATGGCCTGCACCAACTTGTTGGGGTTACGTAGGCCCTGGTTCAGGGAGTTGCTCACGACCTTCCGAGACATGTGCTGAGCGACCTTTGGACTGTTGAGAAACTGAGTAGGGTGGGCGTTGTCAGCCCACCTGTCAACTACAGCTACCAGGGAAAAATCAGCCTACACCACAGAATGAGACAGTGGAGTTAGACAAGAAGCAAACAGATCCGACATGTCAGGCAGAAGTTAGGATGCCTTTATATCAGAGGATAGGAGAGGAAGTCCAGCTCTCTGTCCTCCCTAAGGGGCAAAGGACACAGTAAGGAGCAGGGCCAGGGTGGCTGGGGAGAGTCTGACCTCTGTGAGGATGAGGATGGCTATGATGTTGTCCCGCTCCTCAGTGTTCTTCAGGAAGATGACAGCCTGCCCCAAGACAGCCTTGATCTCGCAGTCGTAGTGGGCCATGGCCCTGTTGGATGGAAGAGGAAGGCACTGTATCCCTGAGGACTCCATTCTCCAGCACTGGCCAGGAGGTTGTCTGGAGTGCAAGGTCCAGTGTTTGGGGTAGTGCAGGCAGGAGCCCCATAAGGGCATGGTATAGGTCTGGGCCTGAGCTTCTGCCCCTCCCACCCGTTGCCTGGCAGAGAATACCCAAGTTTGGGGCTCACCTGGCCAATAGGGTCACTCCTTCAGTGTAGGTTTCCAGGTGCTCAAAGAGCTTCCAACCATCGAGCAGCTTGACATGGGCAAACACCTCCCAGTACTGGGTAGTCCAGAAAAGGCCCTTCAGCGCTTCCAGGCAGGTCCTAGGGCAGTGCAGGGCAGTAGGAGGAGGTGGGGTCTCTGGGCCTAGCTGCCACCACCTAGGCTCCCTTACTTCCCTGCTGGAAGCTGTCAGGTGCTCTACTCATTGTCCCCACTCCATGGAACACAGTCTACTCCTCCCTGGGTCCTTAGCATCTAGCACAAGAGGAGCCAGAGGTTCTTAGAGGGGGCTGGGCTCACCTGCAGGGTCCAAGAGGCTTGGCATCCAGGATATCTTCCTGGTAGTCCGAGATGCCCTCTACCATGCCCAGCTCAAACAGGTAGTGAAGCTGTGTGAGCAGGCCCAGGAGAATGCCAGCAAAGGCCCAACGGATGGTGTCTCTGTACTCCTGGGTGTAGAGGAGCTCATAAATGGTCCCCAGGGCCTGTAACAGTGATAGAGCAGGGACTAGAGGGGTCCCAGTGAGTACAGGAGTTGCAAGCAGTGGGCCACTCTGTCCCTAAGTGCCTTCACATGGCCCCACCCTGGCACTCTGCATCAAGAGCCTTTGGCTACTTCCAGCTGTATGCCCACTCCTCCAGCAATTTAGAGGCAGAACAAGACTACCCGCCCCCCTCAGTCCCTGGGGTTGGGCCCTGACCTCCTGGCTTTGCTCAGACTTCAAGCTCTGTCTGGCCTCCATATCACTGGCTTCCGTTCTCCTGGCTTGGATCTACACTTTGATGACTTGCCCGGTCCTCTCCAGGTGCACTTCATATGGGGAGATCCTTTCCAGAGCCTCCCCTTGGTGAAGGCCTCCCCTGGTCTTACTGGCTTTCTGGTCTTGGCCCTGGTTTCCTCTTGGAGGGGCTGTGATTGGCTGATGAATCCCCTGGCTCTTCCCCTAAACCATCCTCTAGGCAGTCCTGTAGTCATCATGCTCCCGCCCAGCCCCACCCCACTTCTAGAGGCAGAATAGTCCCACTGCTCTTCTCCTTGCCCCAGAATCCTCTTTTTAAAGGGCAGCGCTAACAACAGTTGGAAACTTCCACAGCTTCCCATCGCTTTTTCTGGGAAGCTCAGGCCCTGGCCAGGGCCCATGGACCTCATTGGTTGGCACTGGCAACCTTCACCTCCCAAGTCTGCCCTGCTGCCTCTCCCAGGCCTCCCTGTACTTCCCTTGGAGCCTTCCAGTGGACTCTCTTCACCCCTTCATCTGTTCTCCTTGTTCTTATCCCCATGGCAGGCCACACACAGCACACTGTGTGGTCATTTGTGATTGAGTCTCATGAGGGTGGCTGGCCAGGGTTCTATATTCCCTAACATGTTCCTGGGAATTACTTGCCATGCATCAGTGGCTACTTGGTTTTTCTGTTCTGGCAGGAGGTATACAGTGGGGCACCCTTATGCTAATGGCAGCGGGGAGGCCCTGAGATGAGGTGGCCAGTCCATCAGCTGATGCCCCACGTACCTGGTGGACCCACATGTGCAGGGCAGGAATTCACAGGGAGCAGGTGAGATGCAGTGCCCACCTTAATGAATGACCACTGTCTTACCCACATCTGTGGAATCACCAACTGTGGCAAGGGTCTGAAGGTCAGGACCCTGGTGGCAGCACAGGGTCACCCTGGGATCCCACTGGGTTCTGAATGATGCCACTGCCAAGGGGATCATGGAGGCAGCACGAGGAACTGCTCACCAGTAGGGAGATGAGCTGGGACTGTTGAGGGGGCCGGATGAGCTCTCTGGAAGGCCGCAGCTTCAGCTTCATGTACAGCAGGGTTATGACCTTTTGGGCCAGCCGGCGGTGGGCAGCTAGGGCCTTCCACAGGGGTAGAAGCCGCCTGAGGAGACAGGAGTGCATGGCACTACTGGCCATATTGGGTACACCACCGGGGAGGACCTCTGTGCACCCAAAGCGGTAGCTCCTAAACCAGCTGTCAGCAGAAGGCTTGCCAGGTGTGCAGATGTGGATGGACGTAGCCAAGCCCTCAGGTGTGGTGATTAGGGATGGACCTCGAGATCTGTGTTCTGATGACCAGCAGGGCTTGCCCCTGCTCAGGCTTAGCAGATTGGCTTGGCCTGATATTTGGACATGCCCGTGCCTCATCCCCCACCCACCCCAGCTTTTGCTAGGAGCCTGAGCAAACCACTGCCCTCCTCAGCCTGTCTCTTCTCTTGGAAAGAGAAGGTCCCTCACTGAGCCCCTCAGGCAGCCGGAGGAGTACAGCAGAGCCCAGCAAAGCCAGGAACCTCGGCAGGTACAGTTCAAGAATCCCCAGCTGCACCAGGTCTCCGTCAGAGGCCATGCACCTCATGATCACGTCAGTGTCCCCAGCACTTCTCACACTGCAAAGTGTACACACAGCCTGCGAGGTGGTTAGCATGTGGATTTGGACCCCACAGAGCTGACCGACCTAGACTGCATTCCTAATGAGCTCATGGGGGACGCTGCCATGGCTGGCCCTCAGTCCACAGTCTGAGTAGCAAGACTGCAGCTAGGAAAACCAGCAGTGCCCATCATGGTGACTGGGGCTCTGGGTCAGGTGGCAGGGGCAGGAGGCACTGTATATCCTCGCAGCATCTGGCTAACATCCTGCTCCACTGCAGGTTGGCCTCTGGGGGTTCTCTGAGTCTGAGGGATGTTTCTGTGCTGAAGCTCCCTCTTGGGATTGCTGGAGCCTCTGTTTAACCCCAAAACATCTTCAAGACCTTTCTGGCCCCCAGACTGGAATCTAACAGGAGCCCTCAGGCACTCATGCCACCCCAGGGCCTGCAGTGAGCCTGTGGTCTGGAAGCAGATATGGCCTGGGAGAGCTGGCTGCCAGGTGGCTGGACAACATCCACCTACCTCTCCGAGGGGTGGCACAGGGACATGATCACCTCAACCACCTCCTGGGTGTGCTGGGTACCCAGATCCGTGATGGCTTTCATCATGGTCTGCTGGATGCTCTTGAACTGGATGCTTGGCAGCTCCTGGAACAGGCTGTGGAGGATCTCAGCCACCTGCACAGGGGTGAGGTAGAGCACCCCCTCAGACAGGCCCTGACAGAGCAGGGTGAGCCCACAGCAAGATCCCATGTGTCCCTGGTGGGACTGGGCTCCGTGGCTCATGGCCACCCTGCCCATCCTTACACCTGCAGCCCACCTCTGACCTTGGGAAGGTGGGCGACAGGCTGCGAGGGCCTGTGTGTTTGACCCTGTAGGAGTGCCTGAGTTGGTGGGGACTGGCAGCGCCAGTGGTTCAGCAGTGTGGGTGAGTCTTGAATTCAGTTGACCAGGCAAGACTGAGGGCTGCTCTCTCCTGCAGGCCACCAGTGAGACAGAGTTTGGCTGTAATCACAGCAGCAGGAGAAGGTGGACAAGGGCCTGGTTGCATCCCAGCCTGATGCCTCCATGGCCTGCCTGCCCCAGGCCGATGGGAAAGGCAGCTGGAAAAGGGCTGCTGGCCAGAAGCATGTTGGGCTCCACTCTCAGGCTGCTATGAAGGATACCCTGTGGTCTCTGTGTGGTGTGTGCACACACTTATGGCCCTTAGTGTGTGATGTGGGCTCCCCGCCTGCTACCTGCAGGAGGCACAGGCCTGGGTGAATGCAGGAGCTGTGCCCACCCAGAGAGCCCTTGGTTAGCCCCTACCTGCTCTGGCCTGATGCTGGGCTCGCTGAAGATCAACTGGAGGAGCTTGCAGGCCAGGTCACAGCGCAGGTGGCTGCAGCTGCAGAGGCTGTGCAGCAGCGTGAGGACCAGCTGTGTGTGCTGCGCCACTGTCAGGTCCTCCTCGAAGGCCTTTGGAGAGGGAGAGAAGGGGTAGGGAAGGGGGTGCCTCTGGTCAGCAGTAGTCCAGGCAAGTTTCCAGCTTTCACTGCAGATGGCATGAAGATCACATGCCCCTCCATGGGAATGCCATGGACACAGACTTACAGGGCCCCCAACCCCTGCCCTTGCTGCTGCACTTGTAGAAAAGACTACCCCTATTCTGGAGACTTACCCTAGAGACAAGGGGAGCAAGCAGCCTTGCCTGGGAGGTTGGGAGCCAACCCCACCCACAGCCATGGGCTAGCACCTGCCTGTGCACACTTCATGACTCCCTCACCTGCTTCCCCTGAGAACTCATTCTTGTTAATCACAAACCCAAATTCCTGTCCTGCTCTCTCCTGGGAGAGGCTGCTAAGATGCCAGGCTCAGTCTAGAGCTGTCCCCGGGAACTCCAGCTGCATAGAGACTTCACAACCTGTCCCAGGCGCAGCAAGATCTCTGGCCTGAGTGACCCTCACTTAGAAGGTGGGGAAACTGAGACCCGGGAAGATTAAATGGCCTGTCCAGCGTCTCCCAGCCAGTTAGGAGTCCGAGCTTGGACCCTCCTCCCTATCCTGCGAGGAGCTACTTTGGGAGACTGGGCCAGAAGAGGTCAGAAGGAGTGGAGCATTCAGCTCGCCTGCAACAGCGCTAAGACTGGGATTCCCCAGCAGACCAAGATTAGCTGCCACCTGGGCCCCAGTGGGAGGCTCAGGAGCGCCAGAGAGAACCTCAGACCTGCGTTTCCAAATGGGCCTGTGTCCAGGCAGACACTGGACGAGGAGAGGCAGAGACTGGTCACTTTCCCTGATAAGAGTCGGAAGCCAGGGCCCCATCCTGGCCTTGCCCATCTTGCTCCCCTGTATAGGGACCCTCTTGCCCCTATCTGTACAATGACCAGGGGAAAGGTTCAGGTCCCCCCGTGCTCCTGGAAAGGTTGGAGTCAGCCCTCCCTACCCAGCCAGAGAGGCCTACCTTCACCGTGTGATATAGCTTCATTTCCAATTCTTTGGAGGCCCTGGTGTCAAGGTTCCTTATTTTATTCCATCGCGTAGATTCCACCAACATCCCTGTGTAAGACTGGTGCTCAGGAGAAGTGCTGGCCAGGGAGGCTCCCCTGCTCTCAGCATTGTTACCCTGGCTCACAGGCCAGCAGTGAGACCTGAGGAGCCTGACTGTCCCCCACCCCAGCCTGGCTTGCAGCTCACCCTTCTGTTGAACCACGAGCTGGAGGAGAAGAAAGACACACTGGTGAGCATGGCACCGGGTGGTCTCATCCTTGTCCTGCCACAGCAGAGTCAGCAGTCCTATTTGGTGGCCCAGCACAGAGGGCATGGCCTCTTCCTGGGGAGGGTGGGACAGTGAGCAAAGCCAGGCCTGTTACCTTGGGCCCTCCAGCTTCCTCCATTCCCATACCCAGCGTGGGGTGTAAAAAGGGGCTACTTCAGGAGAACTCTTCGCTTCTCTGACCCTCAGTCTCCTCATCTGCCATGAGCAGTAAGGGTTGCACAGCTTCCCTGTGTGCATGTGTGCGTGCGTGTCTGTGTGCATGTCTGCCTGTACACACACAGGCAGGTGTTTCTTTTGACTGCTTTAAGGTTTTCCCATTTCTCATTGATTTTCAGCAATTTGGGTTGTAAAGTGCTCAGGGTTGTTTCCTTTGTGTTTATCTTGCTTGGGGTTCATTGATATTCTTGGCTTTATAGGTTTATATTGTTTATCAGATTTGAGTGTTTCCACCTTTTGGGTTTTTTTGGCAGAAGAGTTTGATTTTAGAGCCTAAGGGCTCTCTACCACTTGAGCCACACCCTCAATTCTTTTGCTTTTTAGATATGGTCTCACACTTTTGCCTGGGCTCGCCTCAGACCAAATCCTCCTACCTCTGCCTTCTGAGTAGCTAGGATGATAGGTGTGATCCACCATGCCCGGCCCTCAAAGTATCGTCACTTACTTCTGTCCCAATCCTCTCTCCTCTCTTCCTGGGACTCCAGTCAGATATGACATTATTTTACAACTCACTGCATGCAGCTTGTGTTTCTTTTTCATGATCTTTTTTTCCCCTTAATTTCATAGGTTCTTTTGTCTTCAAGTCCACTGACATTTTCTTCTGCAGTGTCTGGTGATCTAGTGACTTTTTAAATTTCAGACATCATATCTTGTTTGTGGTTCTAGAATGTTCTTTTGACTCTTTTATAGTCACCATCTATCTCTGACATTTCGTTCTTTTGTTCTGTTCATGCTTTCCTTTAAATTTTTGAACATATATAGTCATGGCTGTATCATGACATTTCATCAGTTCATTTTACTGTAGTCAAATTCTACTTCAATAAAGCAAAACAGTGTGAAGTTTGGCAACTTCACAACCACGTGAGGGTGTGGGCTTCTGCAGAGTCTCCTCCTCTGTGTCCAGCCTCAGAGACCAGGGAGTTTCTAAAGTTGGATTTTGACTAAGGCAAGAACTGCTCATGTGCCCGACAGCCTGGACCCCAGCAGAAGCAGCCCCAATGCTGGGCTATTATGAGCTGCCATCAAGTGCTGTGGGGCTGGGACCCCTTCTGATCATGTGTGCAGAGGGTGGAGGCAGAGGACAGCCCTGCTCTGGTGGGGGACGGGGGGAAGTTCCCACTTCCCTCGTGGGCTACAGTGCTGGTCATGTCAAAACGTTTCTTCTGTTCCCCAGACTTAGAGAAAGAGCCCCAGGACACCCCATCCAGTTTCTGGTGTCTTGTGGTCTTGAGTTCATTCCTTCTTTGAATCTGATGGATACTTCTGAAAAAGCGAAACGTATTTCCATCTCTAGATGAGGCCCTCTGCCCCTGTCCACCCGCCCTGTGAACAGCCTGCATGCAGACTGCACATCCAGCATACATCACACATCCAGCGAGCTCACTCAGAGCACACATACCGCTGGACTTCAGCTGATGAGACATCCAGTCTCTTGGAGTTGTGCTTTATCCAACATTCCTTGTCAGTGCACCAAGATTTCCTCTTGGATCTTCCTGCAAAGGGTGCCCAGAATCTAACCACTGATCACCACCACTAAGTCCCACCTCTGTCACCTCTTGCCTGGCCTCTGAGTATGGTGCCCAGCCTCCACTCACCCCATCTGTCCTCCTGTGGAAGCCAGACTGTAGTCCCTTTTCCTCCCTCTCAGAATTCAAGTCCTTAGACCGTACGCTACCCACCCCCTGCTAAGTTGCCCCAGTGGGACCAACTACCTGGCTCCCATGCCACCTTGCCTTCCTGCACCCTGATCCGGTGACCCCCAGAGGAAACCCTTGTCCATCGCAGGTCTGCATCAAGTTAATCTGCTTGGTGAGGAAGTCCTGGCCCCATTATTTTTTGTAATTTTTTATTTTGCTGTTGCTTCAAACTTAAGAAGAATGGCTCAGAGAATTCTCATACCTCCTTTATCCAGCTTTTCCAGTTATTCACACTTTACCCTGCTTCCTTTTTTGCTTCTCTATCTCTTCCTTTCTTTCTCACTGGAGACACTGGGCATTTTGCCTGCCAATACTTTCCCATTTACTTCCTAAGAATAAAGATGTTTGGTTATATTGTAGCAGGGAGGAGGTCCAGAAAAGAAACAGACAGGCTGTGTTCTGATGAGACAGGGGGAAGGGATGGCAAAGCAGAAAGATAAAACTTAAAGAATTGAAACATGAAGGTCACATAGCCCCTGGGGAAATGAAATAGCCAATGAAGTCACATGGAACCACAAGTTCCTGCTTGCAAGGGTATGTAAGGTGAGACCCCTTTGTTCTTGGGGCTCAGCCTTTGGACACGAGTCCACTGGCTTTGTGTGGCACAATAAAATGTTGCTTCCTGCTAAAATGCCTCAGTGTTCTGTATCTCGACTTGAGACTCCAGCAACATTTCTTGGGGGCTCGTTTGCCAGGATTGTGGAGATGGTGAGTTGTTGCCTCCCTTGTCACCAGGGCGTGTCCCTGAGGTGGCCGGGAGGAGACCCCACCAGGCGCCAGGGGACAGCTTGATCCAGAGGGGGATTTGTCCTCCTGGCGAGTTGGGGTGAGGGCCTCGGATGCACAACGAAACTCAGCGAGGTGCAGGAACCAACTTGGAAGCACTGCTAATCAGACTGGTAAGAACCCTGGTCCAAATCTGAGCCTGACCCAGGAGGCAGAAGGGGAGACTGATCACCTCCCAGAGACACTAGTAACTGCCTGTTGGGGTGAAGCCCTGTCTCTCAGGTTCAGAGAGCAGGGTGGAAGCACTGTGCCATACAGAAGTACATAAAACACCTCCAAGAGTTAATGGAGGTTTTGCGCTTTCTCTGGGAAATAGTCACGACTGAGGTTAAAGGATGGGCAACAAAAAATCCCGTTCCAAACGGGGGAGACTCCCAAGAGAACAGATGCATCATCCACCATTCCCCCGGATAGCCCTCGGTATAATGTAAATGTTTTTTTCTTTTTTTGAGAGTGCACTCTAGTTTGTGTGTGTGTGTGTGTGTGTGTGAGAGAGAGAGAATTTGTGTAAAGCACTGGGCAAAATTTGATTTCCTCCTGGAATCCCAGCTCATCTTATGTACGCTTAAGTTGACATTTTTTCCTGGCGTACTTAATGTATAAGATTTTTATGTGTGTGTGTATATGTAAGCATCTTCAAAGTGGTTCTTAAATGCTGTTATAAGGTTAATGTGATATCCAAGGTAAAAAAACCAGGGTGTTTGTTTTAAAGATCCGTTACAAACTGCTTAAGCTTTTTACATTTAAATATGTGAACATCTTGAGGATGGTTCTTACTATAAAGTAAATGTAAAAAAATTATTACTCTGCTCTATTGCTACTTAAAACACACACACACACACACACACACAGGTTTTCAAACTTACTTCAATCAGGTCTCACTAGGATGCAGGCATTCAGAGATTAACACTCTGGCTTAGACCAGAGGAGAAAAAAAGAAGGGAGGCTACAGTCTGCAACAGATATCTTAAAATTTGGGTAGTTAAAAATGACCTTAGCCTGTTACATTCTGTCATAAATAAAATATGGGATTTAATTCTCTCTTGTAGTACATGGGTCTATTAAATGGGCTTTCAATGAATTGTTTTTACACAAAAAAAATTTTTTAAGGTTGCTTTCTGTTTTTTTCCATACAAATACAAGGGTCTAAGTTAAAAGGTTTTATGAGTTAATTTCAACAAGTAACGTGCATATATATATTGTTGGAGCCAAAGTGGCTACTTTTCTGGGATTTACTGTGTGTCTAGAATTTGCCTGGAATTCCCTACTCTGGGGGCCACAAGCAGCCTTCTGCAAGCTCAAAAATGTGACAGACCTCCAGCTAGGCTCTGCAAGGTTTCCTGTGACGGTGACCACAGTCTGTAGTGGGTGGTAGAGGGGAAACTCTGTACCAGCTTGTTTCTCTATAACCGGCTTGTCTTTCTGACCACCTGTGAGCGATGTACTGCACAATCCTCCTGGTTACACAAACCACCGGGGGTAAATAACTCATCTCCTGACCCTGATCAGAGGGGGCTCAGGGCTTTGAGAAATTATCTGCCCTGAGTCTGCTAGCATCATAAAATTCCTGCTTCCTGCAAAGTGGTTTCGGTGACGACTTTGTTTCCCTCACTGTTTCCCACAACAATATATGATATTAAAGATATGGTTTTTTTAAATAAAAGGATAAAAAATACTTTTAAATAAGAAAAAAGGATAAAGACAAGCTCCCCCGGGGGATACAAAATTAGCCGTCATAAATGTACAGAGTAAGTTGTCATAAAAGGATGGAGTTTATAAATGCTTATGTAAGTGATTGAGTTGACTAAAATCCAGTTACATTAAAGGTTTTGTAAGATCAACATTTAATGTACTGATATTAAGCTAAAACAATTTTCTAAGCTGATAACAAGAAGACTATCTTAAAAATACTGTTCTTAATAACATTTACAAAAACTATCTTAAAATGGTTTTTGTTTTGTCAAAAAAACTCAAAAATTTTTGGTGCTACAGGTTAATCCACAAATTTATCAAAACAACAAAAGCTTATTAAAACAGAAAAGCAGGAGACAGCTGAGCACAGGGAGTACTGCTGCACTGATACGAGGGTTGAGACAGATTTACTTATATAAAGCAAAAAACAAAACAAAAAACCAAAGTGCACCCTCCAGATAGGATTAAAAAAAATAAAAACTCAAAAAAAAAAAAAAGCACTACATTGGAGATCAAGACCTCCAGTTTTTATTAGACTCAACAGAGTGGAGATGTTAGTCCTACTCCTTCCACATGGTAGGCAAAGAAAATTTTTGGCCTGGGATGGCCAGATTGGGCCTGTTATTTTAAGGGGGGGGGCTCCATTGACTACAGGTTGGTGGGATCCTTCTGTGTGTCATGAGCCATCTGTTAATGTCAACAATCTGGGATATGATCCCTTATCAACATCTGAACCATGATTCTTGGCCACTATGTTTCCTAACTCCATACTTAGTCCCCATAAATATTTACCTGTGTTCTGTGGTGATTTTTGTTGGGGTTTTGACTATTAAGGTAACTGAGTTATAACTAAATAAAAGTTCATTTAAGAGTTGGTTTATGTAAAATTTTCTAGATGACCTCATGGTTAAACAACTGTTGTCTTGGGTGACTCTAATGCAGTTGGTGCCCTATATGTGTCTGTGACTGGGCTATTTGGGGTCACTGACACTGTTCTCCCCCCAACTGATGAGAAAATCTAAGGTTTTACTTCAAGAGCAACAACTAAACTAATGTGTGTGTGTGTATGTGTGTGTGTATATATATATATATAAAACGTCTAGAGTTGTGATGCTGTTGCTGGTTCCTGTATACTAAATATATTTATGTTTTTCAAGTATATCAAGCCTTCTAAAATACGAAATTTAGAAGAACATGGTAACAAAAAGTTAGTGGTACTGATATCCTGTTCTGTTAGTTGCTAAATTGTCCATCAGAGTTTTAACCATGGCTTTTTTTTTTTTTTTTGTCATTACAGTTGTGATCCTTCTGGGGCATTTACAATCAAGTCCATAAAAAATGACTCTAATAACTACTTATGTATCAACCAGGTTAGCTTTTTAGACATCTGCTTTTGTTATATTTTGTCTTGTATTGTCCTTTTCTAGAAGCCCACTGCCTAAGAGCCACTCCTTCTAAGCCCCTTTGTTGCTTAAATTTAACCAAAAGTGTCTAGTTGGCACTGATTCCCACCTGATCTGCTTGTTATTTCTCCTTTCCCTGCCACGTGGGACCAAAACAAACTAAACAAACAAAATCCAGTAAAGAGCAAATTCTCACAATGAGGGAAGAAAATGACAAACTGAGAAAGATCTTCAGTCTACGGCCATAACACCCTGAACATGCCCAATCTCGTCTGATCTTGAAAGCTAAGCAGAGTCGGGCCTGGTTAGTACTTGGTGGTGTTTTTTGGGACTTTTTGTTTTTGTTTTTTTTTGGTGGAACTGGGGTTTGAACTCAGGGCTTCACCCTTACAAAGCACGTGTTCTACAATTTGAGCCAAGCCTCCAGTGCCCTGGTTAGTACTTGGATGGGAGACCGATCTTCAGAGGAGACCGCTCAGAGACAAGCAGTTTGGAGACAAGTGGGGAATGCCATCAAAGTTCCAATGGAGTCACTGGTGCCAGACCTCTCAAAAATAACCAAGGCCGAGAGGATTGAGGAAGTGGTTCTTATACACATGTGGCTATCTGGCATTAAAGGCCTCCTATCACAGTAGAAGACAGGGTCTTCTACTTAGAGACAAAACGACTATTTTTACTGGCGCTAAACATGTCCTTTGATACTTAAAGATGGTGGTTTTAACTTTTTTAAACAATGAGTTTTCCTGGACATGTATACTGATATATTGTTGCCATGATAATTTTACTCAGAAAAAAAAAAAAACAGAAGATACTGTCTGGTAAAAGAATAAAATGTCCAACCATTAAAACCCCATTGGAGGGGCCCTTTTGTTGTTATCTCGTCTACCTCCACTACAGTTAAAATAGCAGAAATTGCTCCCTGGATTCACCACAGCCGAGTGAAGCCAGCCTCTCCCGAGTGGGAGTACATCCCTGACCCAGCCTTACCATCCAAGATCACCCTCCAGAATGCCTGCGCCCTTCCTCTGCACGACCCTGCTTCCCAGGAGATAACTTGGGACCACGAACAACAGGACAACAGCCTGCTCTAGTCACTCTGGAAGCTGACTAGTCTACACATGGAGGAAGCTCAAACATAGGATGCACCTCTGCTCTCCTCTACCTTTTGGACTGGCCCTTGCGAGGTTTCCCCATGTGCTGAATGTTATAAGAGAGCCGTTGTTGGGACCTCTGCACAGCCACACTTTGCATCATGCATGCACCCACCAACAGGTCAGGTGTTACATCGGCTCATATATTCCCCAGGTTTACGAGGTTGCTGGTAGGTGATACTGGAAGTCCCAGAGTTTAAAAAAAAAAATACAGGCTACATTTGTCAAGAAAAGATGGGTCTTATCTTGGGAACATGTTTGATATTACTCTGTCTGGTTCCCCTGGTGTTATGGTCCATCAGGACCTTTATAGAGGCCACTATAGAGAGAAAGCAGCCGCCCATGTAATGATGCTATGAAAATACAAACCACTAGGCCAAGGTGATGCTTTTTGACCCTAGGCGGGTCCGAGCATCAAAGTGGGGGGAATAATGTAGCAGGGAGGAAGGCCAGAAGAGAAACAGACAGGCTGTGTTCTGATAAAGTAGCAGGGTTGGGGGGGAGGGGGGATGGCATAGCAGTGAGATAAAACTTAAAAATCTAAAACATGAAGCAGGTCCCATAGCACTGGAGGTGAAGTAGCCAGTAGAGTTACATGTAACACATACGGGTTAGACCTTGCCTTTTGCCTCTGTAACCTGCTTGCAAGGGCATATAAGGTGAGACCCCTTTGTTTTGGGGGCTCAGCCTTCGGACACGAGTCCGCCAAGTCTGTTGCAGCACAATAAAGTGTTGCTTCCTTGCCTCAGAGTCACCACCTCCAAGGACACTGTGAGTTTCACCAGGAGCGGTGGCAGGGACAGATCACATCACGTCGAAACCACAGGGCATCTAACTCCCTGCAATGGCTCTGCTCCCGGCCGGCTTCTGACTGTTCTTCCCACGCACAGCAAGGCCCGGAGGCTCGTCCTTGAGGTTGGCCCTCGGGGAATTCCTCCTTGGCCTGCCGCGTGGTGCTGGCCGTGGACACACCACGCGCGCCTGTGCGTTCTTGTGGCTGGACAGGAAACCGTAGCGTTTACTCCTTTGTTTATGGATCTCTTTTCATCCCCTCTGGGTAAACACCAGGAGTGGAATCGTGTGGTTGGAGGTATGTGTTTAAAAGAAACTTGGAAGTTCAGTCGAGGCGGTTCTAACATCGTACACTCCCCATCACTTCTGGTGGCTGTGACATTTTTGGTTGCTCCTCACCTCTGCCAACACTGGTGTTGCCAGCCTTTAATTTCATCCTTCTGGTGGGTGTGCAGCCATCTCTCATTGCAGTTTTAATTTGAATTTTCTTTGCATGTTTGTTTCCATGTGCTTTGTAAAATGCCTGTTTGAGTCTTTTGCCCATTTTAAGAGGTAGGTTATCTCTTTGTTGAGTTGTAGGAGTTTGTTATATTTTCTGGATACACACTTTCTGTTTGATATACACGCGTTTCTCTCTCCATCTTTGTCCTGAGTGCACACAAGTTTCTAATTTTGATGAAGTCCGTTTCATCAATATTTTATTTATAGCTACTGTTTTGTGAAGAGATCTGTCTTCCTTAGAGACTTCATGGTTCGGAGTTTGCATTTAGTCTCCTTCTCCTCCTTCTCTCCCTCCTCTTTAATTTTTTTATGTTTTTATTTTTGAGACAGGTTCTCACTATGTGGCTAGGCTGGCCCCAAACTCAGGATCCTCCTGCCTTCATTTCCTGAGTGCTAGGATTGCAGGATGGGCCAACACAGCAGGCTAATTCCGAGTCTTGTCGTACTGTTTCCCGTGATGTGAGGTAGGGGCTGAGGCTCGCTGCAGCACTTCCTGCTGGGAGGACAGGCCTTTGTGGGAGACGGGTGGATGGGGTAAGTGGGGCATGTTTCCTGAGCCCTCTCCTTTCCTGCCGATCTGTTTCCCAGAGCTCCAGCTTGATTCTCTGTTTCCAAGGTAGTTTGGGGTGGTGGGTCCCCCTCCGTATCATGCAGCTCCCCGGCGGCTTGGGCTGTTTTCCCTTTGATGGATGTTTTCCCAGGTAGACACCAGCTCCCTCCCTGCCCTCCAAGTCTTTGTTCACTGTTCACAACAGGATTTCTCCAGACCTCCCTATTTGAACTATAGCCTCAGTCCCAGGCCTGGGGCTTTTTGGGGACTTGGTCATCTTCTCCTATCACAGCCCCATGTCTCACACATGCTCAGAAAATAAGGACTGCAAAAATCCACCATGCTCCCAACAAAGCCCCAGGGTCAGGTGTGGACCTTGTCCCCTCCCACCTGCTGCTCCCCAGGGCCAAGGGGCACAAGGGGCACAAGGGACTCACGGCAAGCTTCAGTTTGTCCACTACGTGTTGCAGGAGCAGGAAGATGGACTGCACCGCTCGCTTGCGCTCGTGGCTCTTCTCCGACTTCAGCCAGGGCTCCATGTGCTGGGATGGGGAGAGCGGAGGGGGAAGCTGAGGAGCACACACTCAGGCCCCTCCACAATGCAGCTCAGACTCGATAGGCCTGAATGCGTGAGTCCCAGCCAACCAGACCTCTGGTCTCTCTACCCAGGCATCAGGGCCGCCCCTGTAGGAAAACCAAGGTGATTCTGTCCACTCTCACATGGCCAACACAACACTACAAAACAGCTGCAAAACAAACATCAGCTGAGTGTCTTCCGGTTCAACTCAGCCCACTGTGATCTCCCTGGAGGCCATGTCAGATCCCCCCTAAGGCTTCCCCACCTCAGGTGTCAGTCCCAAGCCCTAGCCATGGTCTAGGCTTCAGCCCAGCCCTCTATGAATCCAGTGTGTTAGCCCAGCTTTCATTACTATAAAGAAAGAAGTACCTGAGGCAGGCTACTTTATAAAGAAAAGGGGTTTATTTTGGCTCATGATTCTAGAGATCCAAGGTTGAGGGGCTGTGTCTGGTGATGACCTTCTTGCTGGTAGAGACTTGAGGTGACACAGGGCATCTCATGGCAGAGACAGGGAGTACCCAGGCATTCGTGTCTCCTCTGGTCTCTGTCCTTATATATAGTCACTAGGAAGGCTGGAGATGGTAGCTCAGTGATAGAATGCTTCTCTAGTATGTGCACAAGGCCCTGGGTTCCATCCCTAGCACCGTGGGAAAAAAAAATGGCCACCTGATCCCAGGATCTACCCAATCCCAGGGTCTCCTCCACCCTGATGACCTAATCTAATCCTAACTCCCAAAGACCTCACCCCTAACCTCCATGGCCGGATTAGGTTTCCACCCTCCCAATGCCTCACAGTGGGTACCAAAAATCCTTTGTCACTCCTGGGCTTCTACAAGCTGTGTTTTGGGAACCGTGGCCAAAGACTAAATGTGACAATTCTACAGACCGCACTGGAGCTTCTGGAAGGCTCAGGAAGCCCGAGCTTCCCGCAACTCTGAGGAGTTTGGTGTCCTCAAGAGCCTGGGCCTGCTGGAGCACTGGACAGCAGGGGTCATGCAAAGACCCCTGGTTGCCTCTCTTCTCTGAGCCCGTCTCTGGGGTCACGTTCCCCAGCCATTGCCTGGGTCGCCTGCTCTCATTGGTTCTTGGCAGTTTGTTTCCAGGCTGAACCTCCAGCTCCCTGGATGTTGGTCTTGTCCCCTGACCTCAGACCCTCAGACAGGTGTGACCACCCCTGGCTCACAAACTTGTGCCCCTTCCCCAGGGGTCCTCACAGAGCTCCTGCCCAGCAGGGGTGGGCAGAGGTGGCATCTCTGTCCTGAACAGAAGAGTTGGGGTCAGCCAAGCCTCCAGCAACATCCGGCTCTGGCCAGCAGTGTATGAGGTGGGCCTTGTTGGTGTGACACAGCCCAACACTAGGAAAAACCCTCTAACAACTGGCAAGCCTGGATCCTTCATGACACAGCTCAGCTTCCCTCACTGGTTCCCAGGCACCCATCAGAGCCGCAGAGGGAGACCAGGCCTGACCCAGACCCCACCCTCATTCCCAGCCCACAGCCCTCCTCCCATCTCCTTCCTTTCCTGAGCTCAGCTCTAGACAAGATCCCTTCAGGGTAAAGAAACAGGCTCAGCACCCCACTAAGCCACGTGGCATTCTCTAGGGACATTCCTGTACCCCATGTGTGAGTCAGGACAGGGTCTGGGGTTCATAGACCTGGGGGTCCCTTTCTCTGCCTCTAGCCATGGGGGTGGGGGTGAGAACCCAGCGAGGGCCTCTCAGGCCCAGTTCCCATATCTGTAGAGCAGCCATGGGGTCACACCTGGGCGGGAGCGATTAATTCTTGAGACGCACAGTGCCTAAGGCCCATCTGGGTGCTGCCACCCCTCTGTGGTCCCACCAGGATGGGACAAGGCAAACAAAAGGACATGGAGACACAGGGGGAGAGACTTCCTCCTGAGTTTCCTGAAGCCACGTCCAAATCCCTCCGAGCCAACTCCCAACGCAACGTGTTTGTAAGATGGAGATACAGAGGGCCTGTGTGGCAGGGAGGAAGCACTGAGACCTCACTCCCAGTCAGCTGTGATGTCTCTGTCTCTCTGCCACTGTCTATGTCTCTGTGTCTGTCTTTCTCTATTTCAACGTCTCTTTCTCTAGCGCTGTCTCTCTCTGTGTCTCTTGCTCACCTGTAAGAGGAAGCAGACCTCATCCATGCTTGGGTTCTCAGAGACAAAGTTCTGGAGAAGCAGGTCAAGGGCGTGCTCCGTCTTCTTGTACAGCATCTAGCAGGGGACACAGCCTGCTGCTATGGCATAATGGGGGTGCCCAATAGCCTGCTCCTCCCCCACAGAGGAAAGAAGTTTGCCTGGGGCCCAGCCCTGGTGGGTAAGGACAGATGACAGGACATGGCTGCTGGACTCTGCAGATATTAACCTGGGGAACAGGGAGACCCATCTCCAGTCACGAGTGGGAGTGGAGCAGGGGGAGCCATGTGTGTCAGGTGTCACAGGGCAGTGGGCTCCCCTGCCTGCTCAGGCAGCCCCTCCCGCTCCCTGCTGTGGGCCCCTCTTCAGTGGCCTGTGACCTCCTTCCTAATGACCTAGAACTCCTGATGTCTTCAGAAACTGAGAACACGGCAGGTCCAAAGCCACACACTGGCCTGTGGCCCAGGTCTGCCCCCTGTGGTGCTACTGACTCTGTACCCCACCTCTGCCAGGTTGAGGGCCAGAGCTGCCTCAAGAGCCAAGGAGACTGGGCTATGCTCCTGACGCCAGAGTCCTTTTCATGGCACTCAGTAGCCACATGTTCCTCTGTCACTGCTGTTATTTCCTGAGCAGGTCCTGGTCCTGCGCCCTACCTTGGGGAGGTCCATAGGAACCAGGCCCAGCTCCTACCCTGAGACCCTCCTGGCAGAGCTGGAGAAGCAAACCAAGTAGTAAAACTCTAAGAACACGAGCAAACAGCTGAACAAGTCCGAGTTAAGAGCCATGGAGGACTGCCAGTGCAGAGTCACTTCCCTTGGAATCGGGGGACCAGGGCTCCTCAAGGGATGCAGGGCCTTCCTTCTCCTGTCCCTCCCTCCCACTGGTGGAGTGCCAGCGGGAAGGCGAGGCACCAAAGTGCACAGGATGGGGAGTGGCAAGGACAGAGTGGCACAGGTCTGACAGGGACCCAAGGCCTCGGCTGGGCAGGGGCAGGCTGTGTGTACAGAATCCACCCACGGCTGGGGTTAGAGGGGGTGACCCCCCCCGGGCTTGCAGAGTGCTGGCCACAGGTCCTAGTCACATCAACCCGGCACGAACACAGGCACACACGCACACACAGACGGATGAGTCGACATCAGGCAGCTGTGGTTAGAAGTACAAGCATAGGTGTAGGACCTGGAGGTGGAGGGGGGGTGGGGGTGTATTTAGAGGAGACGGGGCGTGCTCAGGGTGGCATGGCTGTTTAGGATCCAAAGCTCCAGGATGGATACAGACATAGATAGAGATGTGGGTATAAAGGACCAAGAGAAAGAAACACAAAAACCATCCTGTAAATCCTAAAACAGGCACTAGAATAACACGACAATTACAGCTGGGGAGTCAGAAAAGCTTCACAAAGTTCAACTGACGCACAACGCAGAGAGCGAGACAAACAGGCAAGCGGAGAACGAAGACACGGAGGTTTAAGCCCAGTGTCCTCGGCTGAGCGGCTCGACGCCACCTCCCGTAAGCCGCAGGATTATCACGCTGGACGAAGAACAAGACCCAGCTGTGTGCTACCCACTCAAAGGACCGCACGAACCCAGAACCTAAAATGAGATGGCAGTGACGACGAAGGGACGTGGATGTATATGGGGGATGGTCTGGGGGACTCTACCCTTGAGTCACTCCTCCAGCCCTTTTTTTATGTTGGGTTGTTTGGAGATAGGGTCTTGAGAGCCAATTTCCTTGGTTGTCTTTCATCCACAAACCTCCTGATCTCTGCCTCCTGAGTAGCTAGGATTATAGGCACAAGCCACAGAGCGTGGCCAAAAATAAAATTTTTTAAAAAGCAAAAAAAAATTTTTTTAAGGAATTTTTTAAAAAGGAATATAGCAAAAGCAGCCTTTTGTGTCAGTACGTACAGATCTGCCTTTGGCATTGTTTTATTATTGCTGCTGCTCATTTTTAATTTTTAATTTTTAAAAATTGCTGTCTAGTAAAGACATTATAACTTTCAAACCACCGCTGTATTGCCGGGCAGATAGGTTGTCTGCAACTTTTTGCTGTTTCACCAGTACTACAACCAACATTCCTGAAACTGTAACTTTATACATCAAAAAAGAAAGAAAGAAAGAAAGAAAGAAAGAAGCCCGCCTAAATGGAATGAGTCAAGAAGGTTGGAAGTAAAAGACAGGATGAGCAGAGGCAGCTGGAGCAGGTGCCGAGAGCTCGGCCCAGAACCCAGCGGGGTCTGTTCTTCAAGAAGACAGAAGACTCCCAACAGCAGATCTTAGGAGCAGATCTTAGGGACAGATGGGGCCGCAGGGGAAGCAGATGAGCCCACTGACGTCAGGGATTCCCACACCCTCCCAGTCCTGACAGAAGCACACGGAATCTGTGAATTACAGAGCTTCGTGCAGTCCACCTGACCACCCAGCCTTCGTAAGCCTCCGAGGAGCGCACAGTGCAGATGCTTCCAAAGTGCACATGGCACACTACCAGTGTAGACCACGGCTGCCAACAAATCCAAAAGGATTTGTGCGACTCCAAGAATTTTCTCTCACAAAATCGGAATTACATTTGAAGCTGAGGCAGGACGGATGAGGGAAAATGAGGCCTGGGAAACGGCAGTGGGAAATTCAGAGAAAAGCACTGTGTTGACGATTAGCTTGATTAAAAGCACACAGGCACCACTTCCTTTGCTTTAAGCCTCACACTCCCTCAATAAGCTGCAAGATTTAGTAAAAAAGAGAAAAAAAGCAAAAAGGAGCAGCTCTCCCCCTGACCTTACCTGCTTGCCCAAATAATTAGTGCACTCTGGGAACTGAGCTAGGAACTCTTTTTAAAGAGACACTTATCCTGGGAAAAACCACTTGGGAAAATGACTCCTCTGGGCATAAAAAGTCTCTGTAAAGGAAAGCAGTTATCCCACGATGGACACCAGTCCTGAAGGCACATCTGGCAGAACCCGTCTTTGTTTAGAGGATGCCAAACATCTATGTCACAATGACCGAGATTTAATAAGTGGACCAACCTTAAAATCTCTGGCCCCAGTTGGTAAGCCAGTGTAACAGCACGAATGGCTAAATGTACCAGGTGTCAGAACAAAGGGGAGCACTTATTCTAGGGTGACCTTGAACCGAACCCCCAACCCACTTTTTCACCCTAAATATTTTCACCCCTGCCATTGGAGCACTCACTGCACCTGTTACCTGGTGTGCCCGCACCCATGTCTGGGCTGTGTTCTAGCTTCCTAGTTTTCCTTTCCTTTACTAATAAACTTTCTTGGTCTCTATCTCAACGTGTCCTAAAATTCCTTTTTTGTGACAACGTCACGACCTTGATACCCAAGGGTCAGGAGGAGCCGCCTCCCTTTTGGAGATCTCTTCACCTGTTCCAGCAACAAAGCGAATTAATATACTTGTAAATAACCCACAGATCCAAGAAAAAATAAAAGCTGAAACTAGCAAGTTGACTTCAGTTTAATTGAAATTAAACTGGGTGACAATGAAAACACAATGTATCAAGACTAATCATCGCAGGCTGGAGGAATGGCACAAGAGGCAGAGCACCTGCCTAGCAAGCAGGAAGCCCCGAGTTCAAACCCCACTACCACCCAAACAAGCCCTAATCATCTCAGTAGATACAGAGAAAGCATTTGACAAAACCCAACAATCACCCCTGATAAACTTTCTGAGAAAATCAGGGAAAGAATTCCTAAAAGAGAACATCTTCAAAATAGTAATAAAACTAACAACCACAGTGAGCACCATACTGAATGGTGGGAGACCTGCTGCTCCCAACTCAGGCCAGAAGCCGGGTGAGGACGAGGATGAGGTCCTCTGTTCAGCATGACAACAGAAGTTCTAGCGAGTGCAATAAGCTAAGAGTAAGAGGTCAAAGCCATCATGATGAGAAAGGAAAACGAACACCGCCTTTACCCAAAGAAGCACGCAGCGAACCGCATGGACTCTGCAGAAAGCTGCCAGGTGAGTTTAACAAGAATAACATCCAAACATCCCGTTGTGTCCGTGTATTCCATCAAGGAACAGGGAAGTTGAAACACTTCGATGCCGTGGAAAATGTCAAGAAAAGAACGTGAAGGCACGGGGCAGAGACTGACAACGGACACATGGAGCTGCAAAGCACAGGCCGAAAGGAGAGGTGGCAAACCAGCACGTGAAAAGATGCCCGACGTCGCTAGTCACGAGAATTAATGCAGCCCACTGCGTTCTCAATGTGAGAACAGCTCACATTGAGGACGGGAGCACCTGGCACCCTGGGCCACGGCGGGCGGGATATGCACCACTGAAGCCTCCGCGCAGAGCCGTCCAGCAACTCGTTAAGTGTACACCTTCCAGAAGCGCTGGCTCTCTCACTCTTGGGTATTTACCCAGCAAAAACTAAAACATGTGTGTCTGCAGGAAGACCCTGCACCCAGACGCTTGGAGCACCTTCCCTGGTCACAGGGCATCAGATGAAATGCCACTCAGCACTAAAAGGAAGGAGTACCGACTCCTCCCACCTCCTGGGCGGATCTCCGAATCACCGTGGTGAGTGGGAGGGATCCAGAGAAACATACAATGCAAAATGCCACTTATGCAAAATTCTAAAAGTATACCAGCCTGTGTGCAGGGAAGAGTCAGCAGCACTTTCAGGGGAGGGGGAGGGGGAGGGAGAGGGGTGGGAACTGGCAGGGGTGCTGGGAAGGGGAGGGGTCTGGGCAGGGCTCCCACATGGGCACAGGACGCTTTGGATGATGGATCTTCATAAGCATTTTGGTTACCCGTCAAACCATGTGACAGTGTTCACTTTGAATGTGTGCGTCGTCGCTTCGTATGTCAATCACACATCAATAAACCTGGTAAGACAACTTCTGCCCAGTACCATTGTGCTATGTCCCTGATGTCCTCTAAGTGTGGCCCTGGCTGCTGGGACTCACTTCATCTAATGGATAGACATGGGTGGCAGGCAGAGGTGGCCCCCAAGTCCTCGTGTGGGTCACGGTACCCACTCCCCAGCTGCCTGCCCACAGCCCCAGGGAATTGCCTCCTGTGGCTCCTTCTGGCTCATGGCCAGGGAACGGCCAGTGCAGGAGCTGGTCAGTCCCAACTGAGCCAGCCCATATCAGCGCTCCCCCACAGGGTTGGCTGCCACCTTTCTCCCTGGCCACATGCAGGTGGGCTTCATCTGAGACCCTCACCACCCTCAGCTCTCTGCAAGGCCCCTCTGGAACACCCTGGTGGACCATACACATGGACTGTGCCTCACTTCTGCTCTGGGAGCCCAGCTCAAGGCACAGAGCTCAGTTCCCCACCGAGGCTGTTCTGTCCATGGCTCCTTACTAACTGGGTGGGCTCCTGGAGCCCATGCTGGTCCTAGGGGCTTCGTTCCCACAGGTCTTCTCCCTGTCCCCCTGAACACTCTGCTTTCCTGTACACAAAGCTGTGCTGATCCAGCCTCAGTGTGGCCTTGGATATGCTTTGGTCATGGATGTGGAATGGCGGCCTTGCTGTGTGCTGAGGGCAAGCAGGAACAATCAGAGGCACCCGAGTGACAGCCAGCTTTGTCCCTACCTCAGTCCCCTAGGGACTGGGTCTGAGCTGGCAGACTGGGTCCACGTGGCTAAGGGTGGAGGATGTACCCCAAGGCTTTGGGGGTGTTGATCAGCTCAGTAGAAGCTCATGAGTAGAAGCTGGGGCCAGGGCACACCTCACACGATACAACAAAGCAGCACCAAGACCAAGGTCACATTTGAGGGCAAACCCCAAAGATCAGGTTTCTTCCAAGAAGGTCAAAGCAAGTCTGGCACAGCCAGAATGGAACCAAGCCTAGACTCGGGGGCTCCTCCCTTTGCCCCTCTCCTGGCAGGCTTGACAACTGGGACAGCACCCAGAACCCACCACCCAAATGGCAAAAGGTGCTAGGCACAGGGTGTCACCATGACATCAGGGACTGGCTCCAGCGGTGGCAGGATGCTCCTCAGTGACTCTGTGGGGGGCAGCAGGTACAAGCTCCGCAGGCAGGTCTGCAGGACCTTGGACTTGACCATGGGTTTGAGGCTGGGCCGCAGGTTGCTGTAAGATACCAAGGAGTCTGGGCTTCTCTGTCCAGCATGTGTGGAGGGAGGCTGGCTGGAGGGGCCAGAGTGGGTCAGGATGCCAACACTCTCCACTGTGTCCCGGATCAGGGCTCAGTCGGTGCTAGTGCTAACAACGTATCTTGGACAGGAAACAACACAAACGTAGCCTCCACCGTAGAGTGCAGAGCGTCAGCCCACCCAGCATTCTGTCTCCATCCTTGGTGTAGCACCACCCACATTCCCTGCACACTCAGAGGGCCCGGCTGTCTTCATTCCTGCGGCCCAGGGGATGTACCTCAGGGCCAGGATGACCAGCATGATCTTCTGCTGGAAGAGCGAGGCCAGGAAGTTTGGTTCCTTCTGGAGCATGCACTGGAGGAGTGGAGGAGGCCAGCATGGAAGCCGTGCCAACCAGTCGCACAGCCTCCTCGCCAACCTGGTGCCCCCGAGTGCCCACTGAGGGCTTGGGTGCCACTCACCAGCAGGCATTGGATGAGCTCAGGGATCTGAGTGAACTTGTAGCTCTGGGCGCCAGACTCCCGTCTCAGGGCTCGAGTGAGCAAGATGGCCGACAGAAGGAAGCTAGATTTCAGGACATCATCCTGTCGGTGCCCAGAGGGGTGAAGGGCCAGTTCAGGGACCTCAGCAGACACATCCCTGAAGTCCTGCCACACACCCGGGTGACCATCCCAACCAGGGTGCCAGCAGCGTGCACACGACATGCACAGCACACAGCACATCTACACACATCTACACGTCTACACAACACGCACACGTGCACAGTTCTCCTTCACACATAATCCACCTCCACACATGTACGTGACAAAACCACACCAGCACACCGATGTCTCCATATGCACGGTGCATACGTACACACACAGAGCGCACACCCCTCACACACACAGGACTGACCTACAGCATGAACACCTCACGCAGCACACGTGTATGGACAAGTTCACACCACGCAGGGCACACACATGTACACATGTCACACACACCACAAGCCTGTGACGGGGCCGTCTGGGCCATCCTGGCACGTCTGTGTCTGGCTCTGCCCCTTGCTTCCTTTTGAGCACCTGGGCCAGAGCCTTCAGAGAAGCGAGGTGCCCAGGGCTCCCTGTGTGTGGGTCCCGCCTCCCTCTGCCAGCCTCACCGCCCTGTCCTGGCCCAGCCCTGTCCCCAGCACCTGCATCCAGGGCACTGGACTCAGCAATGTGGGAGCAGCCCCCTGCAGGCTCTGCCTGGCCATGCTTCTGTTAGCCCTGCCTTGGGAAGCACGTGGGCACAGGTGAGGTGACCTGCAATGCCCTGCTGTCCCCGCTGTCCCCGCTGTCCCCAGCTCACCCAGGGGCCGCAGGTGAAGTAGTATATCATCCGCGAGACAATGTTGTCCACCCAGGGCAGGATCTGTGCCTTTGCGTGCATGGCCATCTGCCCGTAGCACAGCAGGAAGGTGCTGCTGATCCATTTCCAGTGCGGGTCAGCGTCCAGCCTCTGCGGGAGGACAGGCAGGCACTAGCTGGGCCTGGGTGGCTACTGGCTGTCAGCGCCTCCTGCCCAGGAAGAAAGCCAAGGCCTCGGCACAGGATTGTGGCCGGCCAGCTATGTCACACTTCACAGGGACCAGGACTCCCCTGCAGGAAGCCCCTCTGACTGGCTCTTCCCAGCCCTCTGTATTCCCAGCCAGGCCTCCTCCCCTGGGGCTCTCTTGTTATCTGCAGTTCCAGTGCAGGGACTGGGCAGGAAGATGGAGCCACCCAATGCTCGTCCTGGGTCAGGTGCATGAGGAGGAACTGAGGTCCAGGCCAGGCACAGCACCAGAGGCGGCCCAAGACTCAGTCCAATAGCAGCTGGGGAATGCATTCATAGGACCCTGTGACTCAGGGGAAGCACAGAGATGGAGCTGCATCCAACCCCGCCCCCCCCACACCCCCTCCTGGAGATGGGCAAGATAGAATCCTCTGAGGGAGCTGAGGCTGACACCCTGCCTGTCCCAGGCTGCCCTTTCCAGCAGGGCCCAGCCCCAGGGCCTTTCTACCTGGTGGGGCTCTGGTGATGTGAAGACAGCCCTTAGGAACCTGGTGCGGCCCAGGTGCTCCAGCAGGGCCCACACCTCCTTCAGGTGCTTGGTAGAGGCCAGGCCCACGGCCAGTGCAATGCCCTGTGGGCAGAGGACTTTGTGAGCCAGGCCCTAGAGAGACAGCATCTGAGCTCCCGACCCCCTTCCAAGGGCCATCCTCCCGGGTGGGGGTGGGGGGCGGCTGCTCTCAGCTAGGCTATGTGCCTGACAAAGCACACAAAATCTCCATGGAGGAGTCTTTGCTCCCATTTCCTGTGTGGGTAACACGAAATGTTTCTCTTTTCTTCTCCCCTCCCCTTGTCTATGCTTTATCATGTTATACGAAAATAAATTCCTTGCTAAAACTTTCACCTTGTGAGACCCCTTGAAATGCTTTTCAATGTTTGTGGATCTCAACCACCTGAGATTTTGCATGGAAACTGGAAAGCTGTGGGAGCCCCTTCATCTGTCCTCCAGTGTCATAAATTGGCAAGCCTGAGCCAGGAGTTGACCCTCACAAGGTATGGAAGCATGTAGCTTTGGAACTTTTTTCTCTCTAAATGTATCTTAGCTATGGTGGAGGTTTCTTTCACCTCTCCTCCTCCGTGGTCTGCCTCTGTCTCCTCTCCCAGACTGGCCACCCAGATGAGGACAACAGAAGCAAAGATGGATGAGGAAGGAGCAAGGCGGAAGGGAGAGAAGTCCTGCTCCAGTCCCATTGTTACTTTTCCCAGCCTCCCGAGTGACTTCCCAGGGTCAAAACATCAAATCACTTGAGAATCTTGATGGTGTGTGGCTGAGGGTCGGAGATGCTTCTCTCCTGGATCCTTCCCATCTAATGCTAAGTCTCGAAATCTGTGCAAACTCTCTACTAACAGTTAACCCCTTCAAGTCTTGCTTCCAAGGTGGGACACCTTTCCCATCACAGACATGTCAAGACCAGGGGAGAGAGAACAGGTCATGGACCAGGTCACTGCGGGCAGCAACCATAGGCTGTCCTGTTCGCTCTCCTGGCCAAGACACCACGCGGTCAGTCCGGGTTATGGACCCATGCCCTCCGCCTCATGTGCGCAGAGGCTGGGGGGACCAGAGAGGGAATTTCAATTTCTTGACTAAGCTTTTCTTTACCTCCTACAGACGCCCATGCGTTTACATTTGGGATCTTAGCATTCCAGGTTGTTACATTAGCTAAAAGGCAGTAAGAAAGCCCCCTGCTTGGGTTCTGTTATGGATTCAATAAGCCATTTGGGGTTTTATGTTTGTAAGGGGCTCCTTCCCTGAAATTAACTCTTGACAGGCTAATTCATTCTACATTTGCATGCCTACTAAGATAGCCAGATATCACCAGTTTCATTGGCAACATGACATGCAGATTCTCATTTGGAAAACTAATTTTTGGTGTAAGTTAAGAGGCTGGGTTAGTAGGTATAGGTAAGAACTTTCTCAACGAAACCCCAGCAGCACAGCAACTAAGAGACAGCATAGATAAATGGGACCTCATAAAACTAAAAAGCTTCTGTTCATCAAAAGAAATGGTCTCTAAACCAAAGAGAACACCCACAGAGTGGGAGAAAATATTTGCCAGCTATACATCAGACAAACGACTGATAACCAGAATATATAGGGAACTTAAAAAACTAAATTCTCCCAAAACTAATGAACCAACAAAGAAATGGGCAAGTGAACTAAACAGAACTTTCTCAAAAGAAGAAATTCAAATGGCCAAAAACACATGAAAAAATGCTCACCATCTCTAGCAATAAAGGAAATGCAAATTAAAAGCACACTAAGATTCCACCTCACCCCTGTTAGAATAGCCATCATCAGCAACACCACCAACAACAGGTGTTGGCGAGGATGCGAGGAAAAAGGAACCCTCTTACACTGTTGGTGGGAATGTAGACTAGTACAACCACTCTGGAAAAAAATTTGGAGGCTACTTAAAAAGCTGGACATCGATCTACCATTTGATCCAGTAATACCACTCTTGGGGATATACCCAAAAGACTGTTACTCCAGAGGCACCTGCACATCCATGTTTATTGCGGCACTATTCACAATAGCCAAGTTATGGAAACAGCCAAGATGCCCCAGCACTGACGAATGGATTAAGAAAATGTGGTATCTATACACAATGGAATTTTATGCAGCCATGAAGAAGAACGAAATGTTATCATTCGCTGGTAAATGGATGGAATTGGAGAACATCATTCTGAGTGAGGTTAGCCTGGCCCAAAAGACCAAAAATCATATGTTCTCCCTCATATGTGGACATTAGATCAAGGGCAAACACAACAAGGGGACTGGACTATGAGCACATGATAAACGCGAGAGCACACAAGGGAGGGATGAGGATAGGTAAGACACCTAAAAAACTAGCTAGCATTTGTTGCCCTTAACACAAAGAAACTAAAGCAGATACCTTAAAAGCAACTGAGGCCAATAGGAAAAGGGGAACAGTACTAGAGAAAAGGTGAGATCAAAAAGAATTAACCTAGAAGGTAACACCCACGCACAGGAAATCAATGTGAGTCAATGCCCTGTATAGCTATCCTTATCTCAACCAGCAAAACCCCTTGTTCCTTCCTGTTATTGCTTATACTCTCTCTACAAAATTAGAAATAAGGGCAAAATAGTTTCTGCTGGGTATTGAGGGGTTTGGGGGGGGAGAGGGAGGAGGCGGAGTGGGTGGTAAGGGATGGGGTAGGGGCAAGGGGGAGAAATGACCCAAGCCTTGTACGCACATATCAATAATAAAATAATAAAAAAAATGTTAAGAGGGTGGCCTCGGGGATCCTGTATCCTTTTTCCTAGAGGAGGATGTAGGATGCCAGCTTTCCACCCAAAACTAGGTCCCCTAAGTTTTCTTTAAAAGGTTTGACTAAGAACAAAGTTGCTGCAGCCCAAAGTAAACTATTATTAGAGTTATTTAAAAAGCACCCTCTGGGGGTAAATCTGCAGTCTTAAAAGAAGCCATTCTAAGTTAAGATCCTGCTCCTTGATCCTAATCCTGCGTCCCAATATGCTTCCAGGGGACCCTGCAATAAGGACGGGGGAGGTGCAATGATTAGAATATTTGGATTCAATTTTGGTCTTTAGCAGGGAAGGGGTGGTGCATATTAAAACAGGAAGTTTAAAGGTATCTGTTGTGATTTGCATAAAAATTAAAGGCTCTGAATTTATCTTGTTGCTGCCGCATGGAAAATTCTAACTTACACATGGTTTAAAAGGCTTTTCGGTGAGTGCACGCTGATTGTTTTCATGCGTCTTTTGTGTATCTTGTGTTTGCGATTGACTTAAAGGAGGCAAAGATTCTAGAGGCTGCAAGGACAGTTTTGTTAGACTTTCTTTTGCTTCAGCCACCACCACAAGCCACAGACAAAGCGAGTTGTGAAGCAGCATTGGAGAATTCCAGCTCATTTATGTGTGCTTAAAATGACATTTTTTTGGGCATGCCTAATTTGTAAAACTTGTTCGAGTGTGAGCTCGTGTGTGCGTAAACATCTTCAAAATGTGTCTTAAAATGCGGTTATAAGGTTAATGTGACGTTCAAGGTTAACAAGTAAAAGTTACCTCTTGGAGCACCTGTAAGTATTCAGGATTAAAGATTAGTTTTAAAGGGAACTATCTAGACTTAAATACATGTGGACAAGCGGTCTTAACGTGTTTCATTCTGTTGCAAGCAGATCCCACTCAATATTTGTGTCAGCTAGCAAATGCGTTTTTATAAATTGTCGTTTAAAGAAAGAGTGTTCTTAACAGGTCTCAATTAAATTATAAGATTGACGGTACTTTATTCTATTGAAAAGAAACTATTTTAATTAAACTTTTAAGCATTTAAGAGAAATTAAGATTTTGGCAATTACAAATAATACAGAAACGTATTGGGTAGGATGTAGGGGGAGAGAAAAGTGCTTTTGGATGAGAAAGGATTTTGTAAGAAAATGTCTGTCCTAAAGGCTTGTTTCAAAAATAAAAGCGACAAGGACAAACCGTCAGAAGGTTCAGGATGTCGTATGGAGGTCCTGAGTGATGTGAACAGCAAATGGTGGTTGGAGTTTATAGGAGTTTATTGAGTAATTAAGTTGACTGCAGTTTAAGAGTAGTAACTGGTAAAACTGGCTTACAGGAAAGGTTTTGTTTTCCTAAGATAAGTAGTTGCCTATATTTTGTAACTTTATTGGGCTTTTGACCATTTAGGAAACTGAGTTCTAACCAAATCAGCTTATTGAAGTGCCCGTGTTTTCAGTGATTTTAATACATTTGACATGCTAAAATGTGGGGCCACATGTCTGAATTTCATGTAAATGCTATACAAAGGGTTATAGGGTAAGTGAAGGGGGCGGGCGCTGCTTCTCGTGCTCCCTCCCTTGCTGGAGTGAGCTTTCTCTTTCACTCCTTGATTGTTACTGGACCTAACTGGGCTTAACTGGAGGCAACTGGAAATTTTAGAAAAGATAACAGGATAGACAGAAAGTTGGGGTCGGGTGTGTTGTACACTCGGCTGGAGACTCAAAACCTTAGTTGTTTCTTTTTCTCTGTCTTGATCCTAAGGTCTTGCTCCTTAGCTCCTTGCAGTTCTTTAAAACCTTGCTTAAAACCTCTTTCCTAAGGTTCCCACTGTCCCATGTTTGCTCTCAGCTTATCTTTAGCTTAGTTGCTCTTTAAGTCGTTTGCCCCCAAACTTGCACTGCCCCATCTCTTTACCTCTCTTAAAGCCTCAGTGCTCAAACCTGCAACAACCACACTTACACCTGCATGTGCACAACTCTTAAGGTGTCATCCTTAGACTCGCACTGTGCACTGACGCGTGGTCTCTTTGGCTTTTCTTTAGCTTTAGCTTTCCTAAGGCCTATGCATGAAGATCTTTCTCAGCTTTGCTTTCTGAAGCCTATGGTAAAGTTAGTGCAGACTTTCTATCAGCCCCTCTTTAGCATTTTCCCTTCAGCAATTTTTCCCTTCAATAATTCTATTCCCTTCTAAAAGCTTCCCACACCAAAAGGCTCAAAGGAAAAGCTAAGCTTCTTTCCAATATTCAAAGGCAAAAAGCCCCCCAAAGCAAAAAGCCAAAAGCCAAGCAAAGAGTCCAAAAGCCCAAAGTAAAAAGGGCAAACGGCAAAAACCCCCTCGTCCTCCTTTGGGGTCTTTTACAGCAGCAAACAGGGTGGAGCCACTGCCAGGGGCGTGACATTGCAACAGGAGAAACCTGCGTTCCTGCTTCTCTGAACGCAGCTTAGGAGACGCAGCTGTTCTGCCTTTCCCTGGTCCGTGGCCAGTGCTGTGCCTATCACAGCCTACAGGTAAAAGCAATTAACTGCATCTCGCCTTGCTTGGGTCCAGTTCTCATAGGCTTTAATCTGCTCCCCACAGGTAAGCTTAACACAAAGTGACCAACACAAGGTCAGTAGAAAACAAGTCTGTTTGGGGCGCTGACTCTGTGTCCCTAAGCTTGTAAGAGGTCTAAAAGCTTTGCTAAATCTTCCTCTAACTCGGACGACACCTGTGTAGCTGTGATGCTCATTGTCATGTTGCTAAATGCTAAAAGTACATGTCCCCAGAGTTAAAAACAGTGCCATTTAATTAAGGATTGGACCTTGGTCACTCATAAAGCACATGTGTCATAAAAAAGCATACTAACGTAATTTAAAAATTCAATTACAGGCAAAATTAAAGGGGGACTTATTCTATTGGTAATGTATATATTGTGCCATTTTTAATACTAGGAGTTTTAAATACATACTTAAGAGATAAGGAGAGCTCAATGGAACTAATTTATGCTGTCTATCATAATATCCTAGAATGTTGTAAACAATAAAAATTGTCAATTGCTAAACAGTTAAAACATCCTACAATAACTGTTCTAAGTTTTGTCAGCTAGAGTTTGGATCCTTCTAAGGCATTTACGACCCAAACGCCCAGCAAACATCTCCAGCAACTTTCTCAAACAGTTGTCTACTTGAGCGTTGGTTTGGTTTTGTGCTCTCCTTGTGAAACTTTAGCTGTTCTCTGTTGATATTTTGCAGAAGTACAACACAAATAGCCTATTTTGGAAAAATGCCCCACTACTGACAAAAAAAAAATTAAGCTCACTTAAAAATGGGTGCCTTATAAGCTCAGCCTAAGAGCCACTTCTTCTAAACCTCCCAGTTTTCTTAGATTGGCGCTGACTCTCAACCCATCTGACACTTGTCCCTGATGTGGGGTCAAAGATCACATCAGACTATCTGGAGACCTGGGCAACGAGGGACAGTTAGAGCCAGACCAGGTGACTGGTCAGCGGACATCTTCAGGAGGAAGGAGAAAGTTGTCCGAATAAAGCCATGCTGAGCACAGTAGTGCATGCCCGTAATTCCAGCGATCGGGAGGCTGAAACAGGAGGATCCTGGGTTAAGGCCAGCCTGGGCTACACGGTGAGTTCCAGGCCAACCTGAACTATGTGAGACCCTGTATTTAAAGTAACAGCAAAATGGAGTCACTCCTGCCAATCTTCCAAAGTACACCCAAAAGGTTAGAAAGAACGGGTCCTTCTGTGTGTGCATCTTGGATAGACAATTTAATTAGAGGTTTTATTTTTAAAATTTAAATCTATTCCCTCACAACACACCAACATTATTACTATTATTGTATTTATTTTTTTTAGTAAGGGATAACATTTACTGTAATGCTAGAGACTAATGAAACTTTGTTCTATAGCTCAACACAGAATGTCAGATTCTAAACTTGTTTTGAAGTCCTTTTTAAACTGGAACCTTACTGCAGTCTTAAATTTTGGGGGTCTGTGAAATACTGGCCTCTCCACACAAAGGTATACATCTCCCAAGTAAAGGTAAGTTATCTAGCCACATTGTAACTCTGGGGAACTAACTCTTGTCCCTAAAAAGATAGGCCTTAAAATTAGGGCCACCTAAAAAATTAACAATAATAATTAGCTTAACTTATTTGTAAATGACTGGGTTTTTATAGGATTTGGATTCCTGGCTTTCTAGGCAATACAAAGCCTCTTTATGGGGCAACTCAGGATCTGATTTATAAATACCTGGAGTAAACGGAACAACAACAAAAAGCCCCTCAAAGTTTAAAGGATTACTGGTGTTTGCCCTAGTCCTAGTAATCCTACATTTAGATAAGCCTTTGAAACTCAAAGACAGGACATTGTACGCAAAAAGGGAAAGTAACGCCTCCCATGGGGAAGCAAACAGGACTCGTTAGAGGGCAAAAGGCGCTCGGCTGTGGATTCCTCCTGCCCAGGAAGGCCTACAAGTTTATCCCAACTGTAAGACAGAAAAATATTTAGGGGAGCCTTAAGCCAAGGACATCGCTTGTTCTCAGTAAAGATGGAAGGGTGGTTACACCCGACTGTGAGGCCAGCGCTGTAACTTTACAACATGGGCTTTGCTTATGGCACATTACAGCTGTGCTGGGCACTCAACACCTTTACCCTTGCAGGGGACACCGAGTGACCCCATAGTTAGGTATGACCTGGCATCTAACTTAAGCTATCACATTAAGATTTTCCGTAGAGACCCACCTCTGGACTTACACACAGCCGTCTCAGATAGGGACTGGTGCATGTCGGCTGCCACCTTTAAAAGCTCCCTGATGTACTGGTCTGTCTCCATGGGTGGCAGCCACACGCTTTACACATTTCCTTATGTTGTGAATCTCTTAAAAACCCTATTAGCTTTATCCACATGAAAAGCATTTCTTATTTTTACTTTAAAGGATGGTTTTCACTCATTTCTCTTTTAGTGCAAGAATAAATTGATGTTTCCTGCTCCTGATCCTGACAGCCTCTCAACTAAATTTTCTGCCAACTGAATTTCCCTTGTCACCTCCTAAATTAAAGATAGGGACACGGCTTTTTGGTTCCTTTTCTAGGTAGGGCCAGTGACCAAACTCAGCCGGAAGCAGCGATAGAAGATTGGACTGTCGCCCCTCTGCACCCCTTTTCAGATAAAAAGGGACCAAAGTCGATGGGTGGGGGAGGGGAATGAGGCAGGATAGCTAGAGAGGGAAATTACATTTTAATCAATATTTAAAGGGCCAGAGCAGCTGGCCCCCTCCTGTCTTTCAGATGCTAAATTTACAGGAACAGGGAGACAAAGAGGAGCCGCCTGTTCTCCTTTCCCCTTTGAGACATTAAGGAGCTGCAAGGATCCTTGGATGGAGGGAGCAATAATGTTTAGGAAAGGAAAGTTAGAAGCATCCTATTGTCTCTGATTAAGAGTTTCAGATTTGAGAGGGTCACCCCCTCCCCGTCAGCCACCCGGACCTATTATCTTTCACTGCGTGGATTCCCCCGGCTCTCCAGTAGAAAACTAGGAGTTGGGGACCACCATTTTCAGTCTTTGCACCCATTTCCTGTGTGGGGAACAGGAAATGCTTCTCCTTTTTCTCTCGCCACCCCCTTGTCTATGCTTCATGCCGTTATACTAAAATAAAACCTTGCTAAAACTTGTTTTTTTTTAAATCTCCCCGTAAGTGAGGGCTGAGGGCCAGTGACTGGCAGGGGTCAGCATGAAGCAGGGTCTGAGCCAACGACTCACCTCGCGCTGGCTGGAGGGCTGGTGAGACAGCTCCAGGAGGCAGGCCAGGTGGCGCTCCACCTGCTCGGAGGAGACGCACTCGCACAGGATCAGCCCATAGAGGCAGAAGAGGACGCCCTGGGAGAGCGGAAGGCAGGGTGCTAGCTGGGCCAGCACTGCTGGGTGGGGCCACAGGGGCCACACTGCCGTTCATGAACCCCAGCTGCCATAGGCCTTGCCCAGACTCTGTGTCCTGTCGTGCCTGAGCCTAGGGATCAGGGTATCTCCAGGACTGGGCTCTGCCATGCTCCTGTGTGTCCCCAAAACACACCCAAACCCACCCTGATGGCTACCATGGGCGCTGCTGTGCTCAGAGTGGTGGGACAAAGTGCCCTTCTCAGGGTGGGGAGGTCACAGATGGAGCTCTGAACCTCTCAGCACTTGCCAGGTGCTCAGGCTGTGGTCTGGGCCTGGGAGGACCCCTCTGAGGAGGCTGGGGGAGCCCTGCCAGGCACTGACCCTCTCCTCAGCCTTCTTGGGGTCCAGGCCTAGGAGGTCCAGGAGCTTCGGCAAGGCACTGTCCATGTTTGACACCTGCTGCTTCTCTGGGTTCTGTGGGTTGAGCTCAGAGTTCAGGCCCCACCAGGACAGACCGACACCTGCCAGGCCCCAGGGGAGGGACAGAGGAGGGCACAACCTACTACCAAACGGATGAGGAAAGACTAGGAGCTTGATCCTAAGTATGAATCTGGCCCCGCCCACCTCTGCTGCAGACCCCCCCCCCACTCCCAGACTCCTACCCTTAGGACAGGTTGATTTCCTTAACATGCACAGCAAGCCCTGCCAACATCTGGGAATGCTCCCTACTCCTCATGTTGCCACCACGCTGGCCCCAGGGCCTTTGCATAGCCTGTTCCCAGACTGGACAGTTTTCCCTCCCCACCCTCCTGAGCCCAAGTTCACAGGTCCCCACGCCTAGCTGTGTGGTCAGGGCAGCCTCCCTCTGTAAGTACTCGGGCCCTACTGTGGTTCCTCCTCTGTCACCTCCAGCCCTCAAAGTATCTGTGACTTCAAGTGGTCCAGGGGACTGGCCAGCAGCCTCGGAGGCTGGAAACAAAGATTGTAGCAGAGATTTGGAGAAGGGCCAGGGCAGCCCATCCACCCAGGACTCGATGACCTCTGGTGGCAGCTCAGGTCTTCAAGCTGGTCTCAGGAGACAGGGGTCTCTCCAGCAGAGAGCTAGGGTGCACTGGGGGCACGGATCGGGAACTCTGGCCCTGCCGCCCTCCATTCCCACACCTGGCTTGAGAACAATCGCGGGAGGCCTGAGCTGGGAGAGTCCTAGGAATGCATTAGCCACCCCATCTTGCAGGTTGGGAGGAGGCCCTGCCTCTGTACTTCCACCCGCTTGTGGGGAGAAGCATATCCGCCTGACACCCTGATGCCTTCCGGCGCCTTCCAGTGGAAGGTCAGGGACTGCAAAGGCCTGTGGGAGGTCAAGGGGTGGTTGACGGTGAGGGCTGTGGGGCAAGCCAAGGCAGCGGGCCATGGGCTTCCTCCCCAACCCTGGACTCCTCTTGTGTCAGGACCACAGAGGGGTGGTGAACTGGCCGTCTTTGTCCACGGGCACCGTCTCCCCGGTCCTACCTGGCTGTACTCATCCAGGCAGCGGCAGATGGTCTGCAGTGCCAGGCTCTGCTCCATGACCTCCATGGTCCTGATCTTGCTGACCAGTGCGCCTGCCCAGGGTGGATGCTTATTCCACAACTCTCCCATGAACCCCAAGTCCGAGTGATCTGCGGAGGGCCCAGAAGCAGAGGGGCAACAACAGCTCTGTCCACCAGTTCCCCAAGACCTCAAGACCTCGGGACCTGTAGTCTTTGTGGGTGCTGGGTGCAAAGGAGAAGTCAGGCCCCCAGGATCTCCCCACATGCCTGCCCCTTCAGGACCTCCTACTTGGGCCTGTGGAAAGAGTTTTCCTTAAAATGCATTTGGAGGAAAATGAAAGCGCAGGAGAGAGAGGCAGAAACACCTCGCTGGATGCCAAGATGTGGCCAGCTCATAGTAGGGTCCATTGGCAGCCAGCCAGCCTGGGAACAGAGCTCAGATGCTAGTCAGGCATGAAGCCATGACCCACAACCAGACCTCAAAACTTCAGACCCACGAGGAAGATGTGCGCTGATTTTGCCAGCACAATTGCTAGTCATTTGCACCCTACTCAGTCCTCAGGTCAAAATAAAGAACAAACAGTTCTGGTACCTCAATTGCAAGGCTAACACCGAACCACACAGAGGACATTGTAGGGCTTGTGTCTTTAATCCCTGACAGGAAGAAAAGGGCAAATACTTTTACAGTGAGCAACGCTCACTTCCTCGGGCCCCAAGGGAGGGCAGACTGAAAAAGTGTCTGCTAGGTCTCGTCAGCGGTTAGGATGAGCACACAGAAGCGCTTCCATGTCATCTTCCCAGAGGCCTCCCTCTGCACTTTAAATCAAGGAGCCCCAGTCGCTGGTGCACAAATGAAAGGTGGCCCAGGCCGCCATTACAAAAGAAACGCATGTACCATCAGGGAGATGTGCTGTTATCATCTGTCAGTGAGACAAAGATGTGAAGGAAAGACATCTCACACAACAGGAAGGTGGAGGAGGGGTTCTTCCTTTGAAAACTCACCCGGCAGCAGCTCTCAAAATGGAAACCAGAAAGCCTGCTCACAACCACACTGCTAGGGGTGAAGGTGAGGCAGGGTAGAAGTAGGAAAAGTTTGGGGCTCATGCAGTTTACCTAGGCCCAGACCACATGCACCTGGCCTGGGACCACCATGTCCCGCCCCACTCACTGATTATTGGATGGGAATCACCTGGCTCCTCCCTTCCCATAGGTCAGGGTAAATTTTAAAAGCACCTGGGGAAGAGAGGCAACTCGCTCTGCCTCCAGATTCCGCCTGCGCCCACCGTGCTCCCTTTGTGATTCCCTCCCTAACTTTTAATAAACTCCATTTCGCCCACGTGTTCTGCTTGGATTCTTCCCATACCAAAATGCAAGAACCAAGATCTTCTGGGAACACCATTTGCCGTTAACAAAGTATCCCCCAAAAGGCTCATGGGTTGAGGCTTGGTCCCCAGCGGGTGGATCTGATAGGTAGCAGTTAGACACAAGTGGTGGCCACAAGAGGAAGCAAACCATTTGTAATTCAGCTTCCCAAATCCACAGGGGACCAGTCTCTAGAGAGAGAACAGATATCAACATTTGGAGTTGGTATATTTACTGAGGAATTCTCAGTTCCAGGTCCATTTGGCCCTTAGCAGGGGCTCCTGGGCCGGGGTTTCTGTCTTGTTAAGTTAGAGAGCTACCCTTGTGAAACTCCCAGTCCCAGGCCTCGCTGATGTTTGTAGTGTGGCCAACTATTGAGTCAAGAAAGGGTTAAGCTTTAGGTGAGTGGCTGATGTCAAAGCATCCTATGACACCATGATGTTCCTTCCTTGCCACAGGCCTAAAAGCAATGGGGCCAGAGACCATGAACCGAAGCTTCTAAAACCATCAGCCAAAATAAACCTTTCCTCTTTTAGGGTCAGGTGTTTTGTCACAGTGATGAAAGGCTGACTAATGCACACACATATAAAGGGCTTCTTTCTCATCAACAGAAAAAGGCCTGGAAGCTTTGTGATGACTGTGTTAATTTCCACATTGTCCAGTGCTCTTGCAAAGATAACCATGCAGAAAAAGAAATCTAAAATGTCTGCAAAGTCAGAGTCAAGTCGAATGTGGATATAAAGTCCGTCTCTGGGTCAAGCACATGAGTGACCTCGTTTCCTGGCTGTTGTCACTCATTGGCAGACTCAGCCTCTGCCACTCATGCCCCCAGACACCAACAGTGGGTGCCATGAGGTCCTCACTGGAGCCTCACCATCCTTGGTCTTGGCCCTGAGTGGTCCTGGTGGAAGAGAAATGCTCTTGTCATCTGAGAGCATTGCATCTGCTCTGTCCCTGTGCCAGTGGCCCAGATGCTGTGTGATTGACTGGAAGTCATAGTGCACGCATACCTTTATTCATTCAGTAAAAACCCACTGCCCATCTACCTGACAGGCACTGGGGCCCCCAGTCAGCACCACGTTGGTATTGTAACAGCCTTGACAGAATCTAGGCCACCTCCTCCATGTCCCAAAGCTCTGAGGACAGGCAGCAGTGGGGTGGGCTGCAAAGTACCTGCACAGCTGGGTGGCAGGGGTGCCCAGTCTGCACTACTGCTCCCAGGGGCTCTGGAGCCACTTTCTCCTTGGACGCTGTGACCCCTTCACCCACCCGTCCATGGGCCCAGGGCATGAGGCAGGCTGGAGGCAGAGGGCGGTAGAGCAGAGCCTGCCTCTGGCCTGCAGGGATCACTGAAGACTTGCAGAGAATTGTCTGCCCCGCCCCACACCAAAAGAATGATCTGAATGGGCCTCATCCTCCTGGACCACATGGACACGCACAGTTCATCACAGGTCCCTCTTCCCAGCCAATCCTCAGGGCCCTCGGTGACCCTCCCCTGACCACCACTCACCAAGCTCCAACTCTTGCTCCTCCTTGGGTGAAAGGCGGTTGGACCTCCAGACTGGCAGGCGGAAGCCATCTCTGGATGAGGCTAACATGGAGCAGGGCACCTCCTGGGAACACAGTACCTGGCAAGAACAGAACGGTCATGTCTCTTACTCTGCCTGGGCCACAGTCAGGCCATGGGACCCCCTTAGTCACCTCGGAGACAAAGAGGCTAGACATGCAGCCAGGTGGATGGCCCTGTCCCTCCCGCTCAGCCATTTCACCAGGGTGTGCAGGAACTCTGGAGGTCTCTTTGCCCACCCCCCCCCCACCCGTCGTCACTCAGGGTTCAGTTCAGCACTCTCCTCTTGATAAGCTATTCATCATACGCACTCTTAGGGGCCTCCTCTAGTGCAGCAGGCTGGAGAGCTACTGTAGCCCACAGCTCCCTCCGAACACCGAGCCTGTACTTGGCAGGCCTCCTCAGATCCAGAGCCCTTGCCCCTTCTGTCTGGGCTCACCAGGGTCAGGTTTGGCCTCTGACTCTATCAGCAGGCCTGGCTGGTTTTCCTAACTAACTCCTTTGAGCATCTACTTGGCTACCTGGGTTTCTCCAGCACCACTACCTGAGCCCCCAGAACCGTCCTCCATGAGCTGCTCAGCATCTACCAGGCCCTGGAGGGAAAGCTCCAAAGATAGACTGGGCCCAAGTGGCTCTGTCTCCTCTCAGACCCAAGCCCTGCAGAATACCTGGCCCTGCAGGTGCTCCATGTGTGCCCAGGAATGAATGAACACAGACGAAGTGCTCAATGCATGCGCGGGTGAGGCGGGCGAGCGAGCAAGTGTACAGCTGAACCGGTAAATGGAGGACCGTGTAAGTAATTGAAATGAGTGATGAGTGGTCAAGTGCATGAAGGGCATTTGCCTCCCTGCTGACTGCCAGCACCTTGTATAGGGCTCACATGACTCTTTGCACACCACCCAGTGCCTGGGACCAAGTGGAGCTCAGGTAATAGTGGCATCAACCACCTGGCCAATTGAGGAGGAGGTCTGGTGCCCACCGTGGAGGCAAGGTCCTGCCTGAAAAGCCCATTACATTCTAACTGCCCCAGACCCTCCAGTGTCCCCATCCTTTTCAGTCCCCATCCTTTTCAGAGCCAGGCCCTGCCTCCACTCCCAGTCTTATCTTGGCCCCATGCACACCAGCCTAAGCTGGCTGGCTGTTCCTAAGCTCCACTGGCCATGCCAGTGTGTGGAGACTGTCCTGGGGACACAGGCTTATCTCCACACTCAGTCCCAGCCTTGGCTCCTTTCTGCCAGCTTCTGCTGGACTCTCTCCACTGTTTTATGCCCTCCTCAGTAGCCTCCGCTCATCACAGCTGCAAGGCAAGGCCAGGCTCTTGTCTCCACAAAGACTCCTGCAAATGCTGCCCCTGGGGGCTGCTGAAGTATGAGGGACTGTGACCTTGAGAGGGTGATAACCCCATGCCCTGCAGAAGCCATTTTCAATCCACTGCAGGGCAAGCCTAGGGTGAAAGTGAGGTGAGCAGGGAGGGTGTCTTGGAGAAGGGGAGGCCTAAGAGACCCAATGCAGAGAATCAGACAAACCTGAGGAAGTAGTGACAAGGCCGGAGCCCCTGGATCAAAGACCATAATTTGGCCAGAGAAGGCAGATGTGGGCTAGGAAAGCTGCAGGTCAGAGAGGCGGGGTACACACCATGTCCCAGTGACACCCAAGACCTTCCCCAGACCACTGGCTGCCCCTAACATGCTCCCCCCCCAACCTTGTATCCCCTGCCTGTCCTGGGCTCTTACATGTCCTTTCGCTCCATTCTCTGGTGACCCAGAGACTCTGCCCGTTAGGCTCTTCCTGATTCCCAGCACTCACCTCTGTGCAGTCTGGGCCACCACCTGCTCCCCTGACCTTGCAGACAGCCGTGGCCCCTATCACTTCCCCTGTGGCAATTCATGTTACCTCCCATCTCTTCCACTGAGCACAGTCACAGCCACCCCCACCCCCACTCCTTGCTTTCCACTGTAGCAGCCACAGCCCTTCTGCCTGTGAGGCCACAGGCTTTCTCTTGAGTTCTTTGGAGAAGGCAAAGGCACCTGGGACCTGACATTGGCTGTACAGCTATCCTGTTCCTGGAACATTCCTTTCTTGCTTGTCCCACACATCCCTCACTCTCTTAACCTGGTAAACCTGGTCACCTCTCCCCATGGCCAACAGCATATGCTATATACCCTGTGTCTGGAGAGGTCACTGTGGTCCCTGTGAGCTGTGAGTTCCCGAGGACGGAGAAAAGGTGGTGCTTTGCTCTGTCTGTGTTGCACAGCAGCGGCCCGCAGTGAGCAATGACTTGGGTGGACACAAAAAGACTTATATTGCTGAAAGACAGCTCATAAATGATCTCCAGCTTAATCAAAATAAAAGACTGTTATCCACCCATACAGAAGGCTTAAACGACCACACGGCCAGCCAGCTAGGACTAAGGAGGGCAAATGCAGACACACGAGAGCCCCACCAGCCACCTGCACCTCCCAAGGTCAGCAGATGCCGTGGAAAACTCCTACCCAGGAAAACTCCTACTTGGCTCTGAATACCATTCCAGAAATTTAGTCTATGAAAAATATTAGAAATGTCTGAAAATTCATAATTCAAGGATTCTTCCCAGGTTTAAAATAGCTGCACGTTCCCCAATACCGCAAAAACAAAAACTAAAAAAAAAAACTTCTAAGAACCAAAAATAAATAAATAAAATAGCTGCACATGCTCAGAAAGAGAGGAAGAATGGGCAGCGCCTGAAAATCCTTTATGAAAACTATTTGGTGATGTGGCAGTCGCTCGGATCCAAGGGGAGTGAAAAGTTCCACAATTCTAACTTCAAATCTGCAGTTAACCTCTGGGTATTGGGATTCCAGGAGATTTTTCTTTCTGGATCCTTCTGGAAATTTTCTAACACGTCTGCAATGAGCATGGCTTACTCTTAGCAGCAAAACAATGCCCACTTAAAACTGAAAAAGATAAAAGGTTTTCAAAAAGCCAAGAGAAAGATGTGTCATCTCACATTGCCTTTGGCACTGGAGAGCTGAGGGGCAGGAGCTGGACCAAGTCTCTGCCCAGTCCTGAGGGCTCAAGCCTGGTGGTCTTGGACAGCCTGTGGAGAAAAAGTGAGGACTCAGGCCTTTCAGGGTAGGTGCTGCCCAGACAGAAGGGGCTGTGTGTGTGAGGGGCACAGGTGGGCTGTTTGCCCCTCAAACATAGGCAGACTTGCGAAGAACTTTGATTTCTGGCTGCTCTGAGATTCAAGAGGAGGCTGGCACAGCCAAGAACAGAGGGGCTACCTCCTGGGACTCCCAACAGTGACCCAAGGGGAGGGAGGTGCAAAGAGGCTTCCCCAAAGACAGTTCTACCTCCACCTGGGAAGCTTTGTCAGGAGGAATGACCAATGGCTGCCTTGTCCACCCCAGCCACCCCTGAGGAACAGTTTACTGGGATTGCTCAATGTCACCTGAATGACCAGAGGCCCCTGGGCTGGAGAGACACCAGAGCAGGGCAAGCAGGGCAAAACCTGAGCACACAAGTTGGGGAGCAATGAGAAGCAAAGAGGTGGGAAGAGTCATTTTGAGGCGGCAGGAGCTCTTTGCCACCATCTGCTATCAAGGAAGCATTTTGAAAGAATTCTCGAATTCCCACTGTGAGTTTTGGTTCCTGAGGGCAGGGGAGAGGTATGATTTGCCCTAAGAGGACAAAACCGTACCAGCCCCCACACCAGGCTGCCCAGGCCTCTGTAGGCTGAATCACAACCATCATGGGGAGGAAGTGAGAGGCAGGTACCTCGCCAAAGAAAGGCCTGTCTTTGAGTCAGCTAGTCACCGTCCCCAGGGCTCAGTGGAGAGTGTATCCTGCCCAGAAGCCCCAAGGGCCTTGCCAGAGCCATCCAAGCAGCCACTGCCTGAAGGGAAACTCATCCTTGGGAATTCCATCCTCAACTGACGCTCGGGGCGGTTGAGAGAACTTCCCACGTGCACACGTAACTAGAAGGCAGCCTGTGCTGGCAGGGGCCCACTGTGCCCTGAGAAGGTCTTGCCTCCAGGGCCGCAAAGCCACCAGAAGAGCCCAGGAAATGGCCCCTTTCTGAGTCCCTCGCCCACCCTGACAGCCACCAAGAGGAGGGCATGTCCCCTTGAGAAGGCAGTTGGAGCATCACTGCTAGACACTCTCAGAGTTCATTCTATGGGTATGGGGGCCCTGCTGTCCTCCCTTGAGTCCCTGACCCACCTAAACTTCCCACACTGCCCAGACCAAGTTTCAAATCTGCTGATGACCAGTGAGGTCCCAATTTGAAACTGTCCAGATGCCCTCAGGACAGACGGGGCTCATCCATAAATCCCACAGCATTTTGGCTATTCCATCCTTGGATTTACAGCACCCCACCAAAGCAACAGTTGACTGGGGTGTTGCTAAGCCAACTGCCACCCTCCAATAGAAAGGTCAGGGGTAAATCTCCACTATGTCACTCGATGCTTGGGTGAGAGACCTGGCTGGACAGGCTGGAGACAGACAGAAAGGCCAGCCATCTTGGTAGAACACATGACCTTGTGGGTCCCCTGGCCACTGCCACCATGGGGCCTCAGGAATGACCCTCAACCTGGAACATGGCCAGCACCAGGGCAGGACTCATGCCTGAGAGCCTTGCTTGGATAGTTGGAGGAGCCTATCCATGACTAATTTTCTCCATTCCAGCCTCCCCACAGGGCACTGCTGGAGGGACCTCCCCTCCCCAGGAAGGCAGGGCCTGCTCACAACTGGCCTCAAGGCCTCTTGAGAGAATTCTCATGGACAGTGTGGTTTTTCATGTCTTGAGGCAGAGACACACTATCTTTGAGTTGTGTGGGCACAGAGGATCTCTCCGATGCAGACATGTCCCCAGACAGTGAAGGCCAGATGCCTTCCTGGCTAAGGTTGGGACAGGCTGGCAGACTGAAGAGGAAGCTGAGAAAAAGAACTGGCAGCTCCCATAAGGGCTGTGAGGGTGGGTTCTGCCCATCGGGCAGACCCCCAAGAGGGCCACAGGTGAGGTCTCTATCCCAGGTCCCCAAAAGATGGACATGGGCTCTAAGGAGAACTGGGTATCTGGGACCTAGGACCAGTCTCAGGCCCTCAGAAAGTCCCAAAATGAGGACCCCTGGGCAGCTGACATAACTGCCTCACGAGGGGCTTCAACCTTCAGTGCCTTCCCCTCCCCAAACGCACCAGACTCTGCTAACTTATCCCTTCTGTGGCATTTTACTCCTCATTCTTCAGAGCTTTAGTGATGGAGGTCATCTTCCAAGACAACTTCCTGCTGAGTGATGGTGTTGCTCAAGGATCCTTATTGCAGGAATAAAAGTACTGAGCGGCAGCCCAGAGCGGGCAGTCCCACTGGAGGCTTGAACAACTACCACTTAGACCTTCATGGCCTCTAATCTACGACTAACAAAAGACAAACGACATTACATCTTTAATGGTATGCTACCGGAGGTCCAAGAAAGGGAGGATCCAGGTTGAATTTGGGAGGCCTTTTTTAAACTATGGTCCAAATTTGGGTGGGAAGTTAGTCTTTTCCCAGGTCATGAATTCGTTTCCTCCTGTAAAATTCTGGTGGCACTGGTCTCAATTTGACCTGACACAC